AAGGTTTTCGGGTTGATATTGCTTGGTTTAATTGTGTGGTGATTTTAGTTGATAGATAGACTGTTAAAGCCTATAATGCTCCTATGAAGACTTGACTTATGGAAATACCATTTTAGTATTTTTCCGGATGCTTTTTCTGAGAACATTGGATAGCTAAATTTGTGAGCTGTAAAAATTGATTTTTTTTGTTTTTACCGATACCGATACCGATCTATTGGTCGTTTTTATAGCTCCTATTGATAGTTTACTTACGTTTTCATACAAGCACACTATCAGTACTTTGTGACTCTTCTCATATCTACTACATGGTTTTGTTCACTTTGTCATAACTTCTGCACATATCAATCTTGACTCTTGATGATTGAGAAACAACGAAGCACTATAGAGCCTTAGGTTTGATTAGTCAATCGTTAAAACTATAGTTAATTGTATTAATCAAGTTCTTAGTATTATTTATCCATCTTTGTACGATTTTCTTATGGCGTGGTGTATTCTCAATTATTTAATTTCATTATATTTAATATATTAAGTTTTAAATATTTGTTTTTTATGGTTTCTTTTTACGATTTTCTTATGGTGTGATGTATTTTCAATTATTGAATTTCATTATATTCAACATATTAAGTTTTAAATATCTTTTGTTTTATAATGGTACCCGTGCAACGCACGGGTTATGGTTACTAGTTAATTTAAAACGATAATAATTACACCAATTAGCAATTTAAGTAGGTTAATTAATTAATTAATGATGAGTTTGTATTGTAATCAACCAATATGTGAAGGGGGCCAAAATTCTTGGTGGGAAATTCAATGCATGGCCACCCCCACCCAACAAATATTCCAACATCTCTTCCTTCATCTGTCACTAACACACACATTCACACATTATAAACACACACACACACACACACACACACACACACATATAAATATATATATATCTTGGGATCCCATGAAAATGGCTTTGATTTTGCCTCTCTCTACATTTCAAAAGACACAGAATAAAAACACTACTGTGTGTGGGGATTATATAAATAATGTACAGAAAGAAGAAAAAACTACTTTTTAATATTTAAAAAATAAATAAATTGATTCAAATAATAATGTGGTGGGGGTCCAAGAATGTACCACATGTAAGACTAATGTGGGACCATGGTGAATAATGGGTAATCAGCATCAGTCAAATCAGTTTGACCAGTCAAAGTTATGTTAGTTTCTTGATATATAATTTTTCCAGTCAAATTAAATAAAAATAAAAATATTTATATTTATTATATGATATTAATATTACAGGCAAAGTGAAAGGAGAGGGTTACGTTGGGAAACTGTGCCTAATTGATAGTATTTGTCATATGGCATGCTACACCTAATTTAAGAAGAAAATAATATCTGCCTTGGAAACCTAGCTAGGGTTTGAGATATATATATATATATATATATATAACTATTTTCGAGTCCATGCTTTCAACGGCTCCGTTTATTACGCGCCATCCTTCTATTAAGGCGAGCAGGTGCTACGACGGCGAACAATTAGAGACATCTCAACGACCACTAATTTCTTCTGACGAGCCTCCTAACCCATATTCGAAGGCTTTTTGGGCTTTCGATAAGCTCGACTCGTCAGGGCTCAAACCAACATTGCTTACTAGCTAGGCCCATTTGTAAGGAACTCGACCCACATTTGCCAAACTGATCCCATCACTTTACACGTGTAAATGAATTAATAATTCAAATGATAAACATGAGTACCACCAGCTGCTTCATGTACATAGCATGTGCAGAGGGGTATTATAGTAATACTTAGGTTTTCCTAAAGTTCATGACTCATGACCTGATCTTCTCTTACTTCTATAAAGCTTCTCCATAAGATTTTGGACCATTCTTGTCGGATATTATTATATTAACAAATTTTGGATCATTCTTAATCAGTTGTAATTAAACAATCATTAAAAATGTATTTAATTACTATCAAAAGTGGAGTCCGTTTGAAAAATTGGGTATAGATCCAACTTTAACCAAATATTTAAGTTGTTATATATGATTCGATGGAAATAGAAATAGAATACATATTTGCGATCTATGTTTTGAGTGGATGAATTCAATGTAGTTAATTTGTGACTTGGGGTGAATGAGAAATTAATGCATAATAAATAAAAATAACAACTTAAAAAATATTAATTATGGGAAGTGAGAAGTGAAAAGACACCATGCTTATTGATGAAAACACAAGTATATATAATGTAAGATAGATAGCTATTGTATAATTTCTACCAAGTGTGAGCTTAAGTGCGAAAGCCACAAGAGCGTCGCCGCTCGTCTGGCCCGTGCCCCTTTGGCCTTGTGAATGTTCGAATTGGGCATGGTTTGGACACAAATTAATTAAATTTGAGTTAAAAATAAGTTTATCGTGACACATGTCCTAGGTGACATCACCGTGCAGTAGCCTCGCACGTCAAATGACGCGTGCTCGTTCGAAAGATGGCTATTGGATCGGGATTGGTGTTTGGTCCATGCGATAAGATTGGATACATTTTCAGCCCATTCCTTTTTTTCAGAAAATTTGTGCCTAAGAAAGTCCAAGGATTTCGTTTTGTAATTTGTTCGTCTTCTTTCAGAAAGTTGTCTTAGCAAAGTCTAAGATTTTAGTTTTGTTCATTGTAAGTTTGAGCCTTGTTGTGCTACGAACTCGAATCTTCACGATAATATTGTCTTACGGAGAAAGGGTAAACTCTATTATTGATCTATGTCATGAATATTTAAATTGTTAGACATATTTTATATTCCTTTTAGTTAATTCAATAAAGTTTTGATTTGGTTTTGGTTCATTAAAAAAATAATATTGAACATGTTGGATGTTCTTGTATTTTCTACATATATATATAAAATAGAAAAATACAATTTTACATCCTAAAATAATTATTTATCTAAAACATGGGCCGAGGAGAACAAAAAAAAGCGCGCGGCTAAGGCGTACGATAGCAGACATGTCAGACCAGGTGGGACCCACGGTGAGTGGCGGTCGGTGTGGAAGGGCCCACCGTATTATTGAGAAGGAGTACACGTGGCGTGAGGAATGCGGCTAGATGACGAATAATTCAAATTCAGTTTTACGAGGAGAGAAGAAAAACAGTGTAGAAATCAATCGCCATCATCGTTTTCGTTAGTGGGTGGGTCCCGCTTTTGTTTCTGCGGTTTTCTCTCCTCCGAAGTAAAGCATCATTCCCCCTTGCTGTGTGGCTGTACGCAGGGGATCGCCGCCTACTGTGTGTCTTATTATATGTGTGAAATCCTTATCATTTTTTTTGTTATATATACGACGAATTTATGTAATTAACCAACTATATACAGTGCTGCTCACGGCACATCCATCAAATGTACCGGATAATATGGTGACTTGTACATCTTGTTCGATTCGCTCGTTTGGTTGGAGAGATTAGTCGGGATTAACTAAGAAAATAGACTTTGTTTAATGTTTGGTATGACTGATAACTTCCCGAATCGATCAGGAAATACTATGTTATTATGAGTTCCGACTTATCTTGTCTTTTAAGTTTTTTTAGCAAACCTTAGTTCTATGACCCGATAATACAATTGGATTTCAATAAATTGTTTAGTCTTATCTGGAATAATCATATTTTAGCACCAAATAAAGTCTAAGAATTTTGATTAAATTGTAATATAAAACTATTTTGGCAATGTTTTGAAAATTTACAAAAAACATCGAGGCACTGTCCCGAATCCCGAAAGTTTAGCTTAATTACCAAAACATTTGTCGTTTTCCGAACACATGGGAAGAGTGATGGGGTGGGCAGGACATGTGATGATGTTGGGCTGGGTTTGTTTTGAATTTTGTATTTGTCTTGTGATTCATCATCACATAAACAAAATAAAATTATATGTATATATATATATGGCCAAGATTTAGGTGACATATATCTGCAGTTCAGTTAGGAATTGCTACACTCCAAGTTTTAGGTTTCTGTAACTTCCGAGATGGCCCGCTTTCCATGCATCTAAATGTTTGTCCTTTCTCACGCACAAACACATAACTCGTTTTAGAATTAAATTTAACCAAATTGTGACTATCGAATTGTGAGAAGTCGAGACAAGGTAGCCCATTTGGTAAGCGCACCTTGCACTTACGACTATTTGTTTATGGATTCGAGACATTAGGAGCGGAATTAGGGAATTAGGAAACCTCGTTTTTTTTAAAAACTTGTGAGGAAAATAAATAAATAAATAATGGGCTCATTTTTGCGTTCTTGGCCCATATTAAATGTTTCTAAGATGAATAGAGTATTGTTGAAGTAATGGGCTTGATCTCATGGCCCACTATCCACTATCTTGAGCCCCCAACGAATAGCAAATATTTATTTATTTATTTTTATTTCGGTTTCCAAATTATTTTGATATTATTTTCTGTAATGATTAGAGTATTAATTTTGATTCATCTGAATTTCATCTATACTCAGTGACATTGGTTTATGGACAATCTCTTATTTCAATTTACGCTTTAAATGCAACCACTTGAAGTGCACTGGTAAATTGCATCCTTGTCCAATAATTCGTACATTGCATAAAAGATTGAAATTATTATTATGTCATGAACCTTTTTAATACAATTCAAACAACTGCAATCAAAGTTCATAACTACAAAGTTACGATACAATCCAGACTGTAAGATCGAGTAATCCTAACATGGCATCCACTAAAATTAAGTAGTCGAAGTTTAGTCTTAGAACCGCCGCTTCCAAGAATGTGCAATGGTCGATTTACCGAGAAGTAGAACTCTAGCTAAAAAAAGGTAAATCACGGTAAAATCAGGGTTTCAAATCTCCGAATTTCTACTTTACAAAGTTAAGGATAATTAATGAATAAATAAATAATTATAGATATGAAACTATTAATATAAAGATTTTGAATTAGTGAATAAAATTTGAAAATGTGTGTTTTTTTTTTTAATTGTTAAATAAAAAGGCTAGATAAACCAAACCAAACCTTCAACAAAAATAACCCTCAAAACCTCCCTCCCGCTAATAATATATCTACCATTGTTGCTCATTCTCATGCAAATGCAACCCACGCCTCTCCGATAATGACGGCAACCATACCCCGATCCCCAATCACCCCCCTCCACTCCCAATTCCAAAACCCTAACCCCACCCCCTTATTCAACCCCAGGCTTCTTCCACAGCGCCGCCGCGGAATCCCTCACCACGCCGCCTCCAGTAGCAGCGGCGGCGGCGAAAGCAATCGGCACAAAAGCCGAGCAATTGAGCTGCAGAAGCTCATCGAAGACAGCCCTTACGAGTTTAATTCCAAGGATTCTCCCTCTTCCCTTCCGCGTATGATTAATTTGATTTGATTTGCATTTTTTTTTATTTCTGTTTTACGGTTGGATTTTCTACGATTGAGGGGATTAATTTGATTTTCTAATCCTGAAATTATTGACGATTTAGGTCCTCTGACGTCGGCTCTATTGTCGAATTTGGCCACGGAAGGGTCTCATCTCCGCGTTGCTTACCAGGTTTGCACCTCGGAATAATTTTGATTTTTCTTTCAGTTTGTGGTGTTAAGGGTACAAATTTTGGGGGCATTGGTACAACATCTGTCAGCGTAGGGTCAACGTGCTGGTGTTGTACTTTCATGCTTCGACCATTGTACTGGAAATGGATTTATTTTCTGTGGTAGATTAGGGCGATTTTTCTGATATTGGTTTTTTTTTGTTTTTTTTTTTGTTTTGAAAGGGTGTTCGAGGTGCTTACAGTGAGTCTGCAGCCGAGAAGGCTTATCCAAATTGTGAACCAGTTCCGTGCGAACAGTTTGACACGGCTTTTGAAGTCAGTAATGAAATATCATTCTTGGAATTTCGAATTAACCATATTTTGCATAAATCTTTCCGGATGTAGTTGATTTATATGACCGCTCTATGCGGCCAAGCCATAAAAATCTTGTCGTATTTCATTACGGATATGAATGACAAAAACATCGAATTTGTAAAACTTTAGCGGTTCCATTTTTTGCATGAAATAATCATGGTTTCGGTGAGTGCTGTGCTGAGAGAGCTCCATTGTTCCAAATCCAATTTTGTTTTTAGTAGACCTACGTCTTCTGTTAAAAAAGATTTCAATTACCAATTTTCTTAATCTCTATTCCTGAATAAATTTGTGCATGGGTTAGGTTAAACCAGAGAGGGGGGGGGGGGGGGGGGTGTTGGGGGGATTGTGTTGGTTGGGCGTCTTTCGGCTAATATCTTCATTTGACTTATGCATAAGTCCAAAAAATTATCTTCTGCTTACTTTATTTAAGACTGATTGAATGTGGTCCATGACATAGTTATGTTGTGGATAACTTGCATATCGGACGTATCTCGTCTAAATGTTTAAATATTAGTGACATATAAATTATTACTTGAATGCTATGAGAATATTCAAGTAAATTAGTATTCTATAGTATTCGTCAGTTATTTCTGTTAGCCAAATATTAAAATTTTATTTTGAGTTGAACCTTTTTGCTAGTTACTTCTATAATCAGATCCGTAATAATTGATAAACATTGCAATGTCAAACAGATAACCATGGAGCAGCTATATCAGTATATTACCTAACCTCTCTGTTTTCTGTTATATTTGGTTCCATGTTTTACAGGCTGTTGAAAGGTGGCTTGTCGATAGAGCGGTTTTGCCTATAGAAAACTCTTTGGGTGGCAGTATTCATAGGAACTATGACCTTCTACTCCGGCATAAGTTGCACATCGTTGGCGAAGTTAAACTTGCAATCAGACACTGCTTACTGGCTAACCATGGCATCAAGATTGAAGACCTTAACAGGGTTCTTAGTCATCCACAGGTACCTCAAACTCGATGAAATATATTAATCTATCTCTAGGACATACAACTCACAGTTTTTTAATTTCTGACGCTGTAGGCACTTGCACAGTGTGAGAACACCTTAACTAAACTGGGACTTGTTAGAGAAGCTGTTGATGATACTGCTGGTGCTGCAAAGGTAATTTTTTAAGAAGTGTAGTTCCTATAAGTTTCTTGAAAAAGTGCAGTTTCAATGCTAAAAGTAACACCAATTTAATGTTCTAGAACGGTTTGTTTGATGCTACACCCGGTGAAATACACCGGGTGATTATTAACCGTTGATCTGCACACAATCACACACACACACCCATGTGTATGTGTGCTTAGTAGGAAGTTATTTCACCACATCAACGGTTAATAATTACCCGGTGTATTTCACCAGGTGTAGCATCTCAAAGACCTTCTAGAACTGTCTTTTTTAAATTTTTGTTGGCTAAGTACTCATGAAGAGTTTGTAACTAATAGTCTTGGCTAAGAGTTTAGTGCATATTCTTTTGACATCAGAATAAAAACAGGACCCCAAATGATTTTTCGAAAGTGTCGATGTTAATGGTCATAAGAATTGTTTTTCTTTTTTTTTTTGGGTCAGTAATTGAGTTGAACCTTAATATGAACCTTGCATTTCCCTCGTTTGAATTTAGCACGTTGCCTTCCATAAACTTAAGGATGCCGGGGCTGTTGCTAGCATGGCTGCTGCTAAGATATATGGTCTAAATGTACTTGCTCAGGACATACAGGTTTGTCTGTAAAGTTTGTTGATATTTGTCTTCATACGTACGAAGTTCTACGCCTGGATTTAATACAATATAAATATTTAGTCATTTCAACTTTTTCTTTCCAGGATGATTCTGACAATGTGACTAGGTTCTTAATGTTGGCGAGAGAACCTATCATACCAGGCACTGATAAACCTTTCAAGGTTAGCACCCATAAATAACTATTAATGATCAGTTAGAAAATTCGAAAAATGGGACTTTCAGTTCGACTCTTTTCATAAGCAAAGTTTCGAAACATTTTTATCTCATGACTTAGTCACACAGCAATTTAATCATGTATCAGACAAGTATCGTCTTCTCACTCGAGGAAGGACCTGGGATGCTTTTTAAAGCACTTGCTGTATTTGCCATGAGGAATATCAACCTCACCAAGGTGATTTATCTTAAACCTCTTTCCAGAGTTGTGTTTGGTAATTTCTTTTTTGTGGTTCAACTGAAACGTCTCTTTTCTGCTGATATAGATTGAAAGCCGTCCGTTGCAGAAGCAGGCTTTGCAGACACCCGACGGCAATGCCACTGTGTTTCCTAAGTAAGTGCAGCAAATTTCCGTCTTTTAATAGATAAAGCTCTATAGGCATTCAGTATATATTCAAACTTGTATCAAAGTGATTTATATTTGTACATTTTCCTATGTTTGGTTTTTCGAGGAGCTTGATTATCAGTACATGACCATACGGTTTGAAACAATATATGCTCTGAAATATGATTTTTTGCCAGCATTATTTTTTGAGTTAGGATCCGTTAGCAAGCATCAGTGGGTCACATTTATATTTTATAGTTTTTTATGCATGAAATTTCAGATTATAATAAAAAATGATCTTTTAGCAAAATTTTATTTCTTACAAGAAACAGCATGGATTCTATTGGATTCATGGCTGCAGAATCACCCTAACATGGCAGTTGGCGTCACAACATAATTCTTAGAATTTCAAAATGCTTTTACCAAACTTTCCGCATAATCACTTGTAACCTTTTCATGCAGATACTTCCCGTATCTTTTCTATGTTGATTTTGAAGCATCCATGGCAGATGAAAGAGCTCAAAATGCCCTTGGTCATCTAAAGGTACAGTTTACTTAATATGGTCCTGCTCGAAGTAATTATTTTTAGGTTAGCAACGTAACAATTGTACACAACTTGGCAGGAGTTTGCGACATTTATGAGGGTTCTTGGGAGTTACCCTGCAGACAATGGACTTCAATAATTACATTGAATCCTCGTAAGATGCTAATATCTGTTAACTAGTATATCGTACATTTGTGAGCTATGCTTTTCTACTGGTAGCCTTTTCTTTTTTGACCTGTTCTTATATTTAAGTGGCATATGTGTTATTCACCTCTTATATATTTAGCTTTAGTTATACAACTTTGCAGTACAAAATCACATCGAGTTTCACATGTTCATAAGAAGCTATTTATGATTGTTTACATCGCAATAACTTGTTACAAGCATTGAGAAATTGGTTAGTTAATGGCTTAATGAAGTTTCTAGAGTGGTGAATGGAAACGACCTATTTATTCTCCATCTGCATCGGACGATTTGGACATATTTTGGTAATTTTTTTGTTCAGTTGTTTAACTCTCTGTTTTATAATATCTTATGAAGACATTATACCTGTCTAATAGTTTAAGAAAAAACTCCCAGATATTCCTCTATTTAGAGATTGTACATTTTTCAGTCCCGAGAAGTTACATACCGACTATGAAGTCACAAGCAGTAGTATTTTGCTATGCCTACTGTACAAAATTGCTCTTACGTTGCCGTGTTTCAATTGTTAGTCTTTGAGTTTTTTTTTCCAACTCCCTACTTCTCTTATCAGTAATGACAATGATGCAGGACACAGAAAAGTATATTTGTATTCAAGAAACGAAGTTTTTCAAGGTCTTTGTACGCTGGGTCCGAAATACACAATTCAATAACAGAGATGCAAAGAGTATAAGAGCTCATTGTCTTCCTGCACTTTTCATGAGTTGCAATTTTATATATATATATATATATATATATATATATATATATATATATATATATATATATATATATATATATATATATATATAAAGAGTCATTTTGTAGAGAAAATGAGTTTAAGTGATCCTCAGTTATTGCTTGTAGCTATAACCACTTGTTAGGATGGAGTTTGAAATTTGTTTTTCTGTTTTTTTTTTCTTTTTTTTTTTAACTGAAAAAATTTAACGTGGTAAACACTTGTTCTATACTTCCTAGCTTTTTTTTAGGGTAAATAGCACATAGATGGAAATATTAAGATTGGTGACAAGAAAGCACAAAAATTGGTCATCACCGGTGGAGGAAATCCGACATATGTTTTTTTCATCATTGCAAATAACTATTATCTTTTGCCAATCATTCTTATAGGAAAATAATCGCATATTGGTAATAACATATTTCTTTAGCACGACCCTAAATTCATCAGGGCCTCAGAAAATTTGGTCGCGGTTGCTTCCATGAATACAGTCTCTATGTGCATTAACTGAGTTCTAGACTGATTTCTTACTTCATTACTTCCATTTGAACAAAGATAAAACAAAAAATATAGTTGGATCATTATAGTGTATGGCAACACTAAAGACACAAGTGAACCGTATATTCGAATGGTTCAGATAATGTATACATGCGATAAGAGTTGCGCCAATAGACTATAAATGATGCACTTCCCATACTAAAGGTAAAATGTGCGCATACCGTGTACGTGTGAGGTCCATACGATCCATATATGTTGCGTAAGTATACAATAACATTGATGTGGAAACACGAAATGCTAGAGTTGAGTATGCTTCTCATGCTCATTAACACATAAGGATTGACCATAAACCACACTATATGTACTTCAGGTACATACTTACGAGGCCGAATAATTACCTGATTATGCCGGGTTCGTTTCGACGACGATGAAAATAGTTTTTATGAGAAACAATAATATCGACGATGTGCATCTTAAATATCAAATGCATCGTCACCAGCATACACACGTCTTCGTCTCTCGACATCGACACATGCAGTCTTCTTCGCGAGACTAGGTACTGAAAAATCAACGAATTTGAATATGTAGCTCCACACTTTTCTGCTACAATATCAAGAAACTCCTTCATATTCTCATTATCCTTGATTGCAACGACAAATAACTGATGATTTTGGTGGCGCCAACATCAATCCAGGGTAGGGTTGGTGACTATCACGAGTGCTGTACCCAAAGCATACTATTGGGGACCGTCCAATATATAAGGGTAAATTACAACCATCCCTGAGGTATGGTCAAATTACGAAAAAATCCCTCATATTTGGATAATTATATCTACCCTCGACTATGAATCTTCTTATATGTCCACCCATATGGTGTCAACTTGAATATAATCATCTAGATTATGTGGAATGATCTCTAGTTTGTACTCGTTTTGTGCAAAAATACAGTTTCTGATGCACCACAATATGTTATAAACAAGTCAAAAAACACATCTTGTGATCATCTAGCTTCAAAATGTGGAGCTCGAATGGGATAAAAGGGGTACAAAATTGACAATATTCCATATAATTTAAAAGATTCCACTAAATTTGGTGGAGATAGAGGTTTTAATGACCAAAATATGAGGAAGTTTTTCGTAATGTGACTATAACCCATGAAGTCATAATTTACCCAATATATAAAACTAGAAAATGACCTACAAGGTAAAATCCCAAAATAAAGACGAAAATAATTTAATTGATCGAAATTAATAAAAATTAATTAAATCAATTGACCAAACTTCTGTCATTCCTTTCCTTAACCGCGTTATCAGACACACGGACACGGTGAATAAGATTTCGATCTTTCCATTTTCCGCTCTTCTCCACCGCGCCGGAAAATCCCAAACCCAACTAGAAAACTGTAGTCCCCACCTCCTCCGCTGCAATTTAGTTGCTGCCAAAAGAAATTATACATACACAAATACGTATAACCGAAACCGCACCACCTTTACCAACACACTCTTCACGCACTGAGCGTTTCATGCCTCCTCTCGCACCGCACACAATCGCGCGGGTACGTCAGTTTCTCCGTGTCCAGATCTGATATAAGAGGAAATTGTGAGTGATTTTGGTCCGAGTAGATTGTTTAATCAGGCGCTCCTTGGGCGGCGCGTGGAGAAATGGAGTGCATAGACAATTTGCCACCCATGGATCTGATGCGCTCCGAGAAGATGGTGCTTGTACAGCTCATTATCCCCGTCGAGTCGGCTCACCGCGCCGTCTCTTATCTCGGCGAACTCGGTCTCCTGCAATTCCGCGACGTACGCTCCGATCTCTCTGTTTTTTATACTTGTTTGTTTAAGTTCCTAATATACAGTGACAATGCATATCCTACTTTGCTCATTGGATGATTTTAATTTTATTTTTTTTAATCGTAATTGATTGGGACAAATGTAGTATCATGCCGACAGAGTAGAAGTGTTGATCAAGGGTTAGCAGTGATGTAGCCTCACTGATTAGGAATCGGTTTTATCATATCTTTTTATGCGGTTCGCTTTTAGTGATTTGCTTTGGCTTCCGTATGAGAATCGGTAACTAACAGTTGATCCTAACTGGATAATTCAAGGGCATAAACTTGTCATCTAAGCAGAAAGAGATTTTTTGCTCACGATTCAGATTTCAAAGAGATGCTTCCTTGAACGAGTACCTGTTTCAATTCATTGATGTTAGTTGCCAGTTTTATGTGTAGCTTGACGGGTGCCTTAAGGTTCTTGTATATGGATATATGCAAAATGCAAAAAAAATATAAGTCATAGGACCAGAGTAAGAAGCCTTGCGCTTCAGATTGACTGTTCTATCTTGCTAGCACTGTATACTTCGGATTATTAGTTGTTTAGATGATGTTAGTGGGGTTTATTTCAAGATTTTGTTGTTTACGGGATGCTGTTGGGCTCCTGATCTGGAAATTTTACTAGAATTGTTTATGTTAGAATCTTTTGATACAAGTCTTCTCCAGTTGATGGTAGATTTAGTGTATTTCTGTGTTTTGCTGATGTTTCTCGACATACTTAACTTTTTGTTATATTAAATGTTTTGCTATGTTTACTGGCAGTTAAATGATGACAAAAGCCCTTTCCAGCGAACGTTTGTCAATCAGGTAATCTTCATGAAATACTATTCTCTGTTTTTCTCTATAATAACACCTAGTCATTCATTCGTTTTCCTAGATTCGCGATGGTACTCTTGGAGATAAAACTACATTTATAGCAGAAACAAACTTTCTCCCAATTATTAGTAACTACCTCCATTTCAATGTAAATCAGATGATTTGACTTTTATGGTCAAATGGGCTGCTTATTTAACATGTCTATAATTATGCTCTAATGCTGGTTTGCTGAGTGATCTCACCAGGTATCATTCTTTTTGCTGGTTTAGATTTTATATATGCTATATTTCCACAGGTTAAAAGATGTGCTGAGATGGCTAGGAAACTACGGTTTATCAAAGATCACATACACAAAGCTGGTCTGATACCATCTCCTGATCCAGCTTCGGAACCTGATATTGAGTTGGAAGAATTGGAGGTCTGTATTTTTGCTTTTCCTTGCACATTATTATTTATAAACTAGAGATTAGCCTTTTCTCCTCGGTTTTTTCTCCTCCTGATATCATAACTAATATGACTATTCTGTATTTGATCTTAGATTCAACTTGCAGAGCATGAACATGGGCTAATTGAAATGAATGCCAATAGTGAGCATCTGCAGCAAGCATATAATGAGCTGCTTGAGTTCAAGATGGTGTTGCATAAGGTACATTATCAAACTATTGATGCTTATCTTTTTCTTTGTCAAGAAAAAATATTTCATATACAAAATACTTTGAACCCTGTGCAAGAATACACGACTGTTTCAATTTTTACAATAATCAAGAGCACTTTGAAGGATACTATATCATCGTGCTACTTCTTAATATGCCTTACAGATATTTATGTTATTATATGTGGTCTTTTTTGTCTGGAAAAGTTAAATCAACCTTCAATGTATAGCTTAGCAGAACCGATAAGGGCATCATAGTTTTGGTTGCTTAGTGCTTGTTATACAGTTCCTGGGATTTGTGGACATGGAAAGGAGTTGATGTCAATGTAATTAATGAATAGTTGCTGACTTGTAAGTTGTAATACACTGGAATCACAAGTGACCCTCAAATATTGAAATACTTCCTAACCAACAGACTATTTACCTGCACCAGTCATGATTAGAAGTGGGAACATCCAGTCAACTCATCCTCTTATCCACACATTGAGGGCCAGATGTCATCGTTAAGCAGAAATTAATGGAATAGCCATTTGAATATATAATAAAGAAAATAAGAATGAGACAAAGTTAAAGAAGACCAGGTCTTACGTAGGTTAAACAAAAAAAAAAAATGTTGACTCAATCAAGTTTGAGGCTTCTTTCTGTGGACAATATGTAATTGTTTTACGATCTATTAACCATGTGAATCACATGTTGAAATCTAGGCAGTTAACGGATGCTTATTCTATAAGGTGAACAATAATCCATATAATCTATCTTATTTTCAGGAACCGAAATTCAGATGAAATAGATTCTTCAGATTTCATGAATTAGACCACCCCCCCCCCCCCCACAAACACACACACACACACACACACAAATTGGATGACGTGCTAATACATTTCCCTGTCATGATTTTTTCACAAAGGGAAAATATAATATTCTCTTTGTAAATTTTGCATCATTTCAAAACTCAAGTATTATCTTTCAGATTTATGTGTTGCAATGGGTAATTCCAGGCAGGTGACTTTCTATCGTCGAATGGGAGTCCAGTTGCAGCTCAGGAGACAGAACTAGATGAGAATGTCCATATAAGTGATGATTATGCGGATACATCATCACTCCTCGAACAGGTAACAACTAAGATGGATTTTCTACTAGATGCTTTTAGGATTTTTGATTCATTGTTGTTGCCCTAATCATGTAGGTTTCCTAAATTTCAGGAGCTGCAACCTGGACCATCAAATCAATCTGGTGTGAGATTTATAAGTGGTGTTATCTGTAAATCTAAAATCCTGAGGTTTGAGAGGATGTTATTTCGTACAACTAGGGGCAATATGCTTTTTAATCAGGCATCAGCTGATGATCAAATCCTGGATCCTGCGTCAAATGAAATGGTATTGTTTCTTCAGTTTTCTTTGAGAATATATTCAATTTTTATGTGAATCCCAAAGCTTAACCATAAAAAGAAGCCACAAGAAAGTGAAAGTTTAAATACTTATGAAATGAAAGAGAAAAACATGTCTATAAAAGTTTAAACTTTTGTTTTCTTTACTTAGATTTTTCACATTTTGAATGAGAAGATGTTATATTCTAGATTGTCTTTGTTGATGAACTGTTGGAGCATGTTTCAGGAATTGATATGCAGTTGTTGGCTTCTCCTATCTACAGGTTGAGAAAACAGTTTTTGTTGTATTCTTCTCAAGTGAGCAGGTGAGGATAAAGATCCTGAAAATTTGTGAAGCATTTGGTGCAAATTGTTATCCAGTTCCGGAAGAGGCAACCAAGCGAAGGCAAATAAGTCGAGAAGTATGTTAGTAACTGAATGCGTTTGTGTTTTATTGCATATAGAAAAGATCCATACACATAATTGCAGTGTATAATGTTGTTACGACCTGGCTGAAATATGATTCCTTGATTCCTGTTCCGTACACTTGAGAACTTAGTATGTCACTATCATTCTCTTATTTGGGTGGATTTGTAGAATGATTGTGTCTATGGCACTGTTGGTCGTTTGTAACTATATACTTGTGAGTTGTGATATACCACAGGAGTGGAAGATTAACAAGTAATTTTATCTGCACGGTACAAATCCATATATTAGCAGTACAACATTGAATTTATCAAAGGCCTTCTTCAATATTTGTACATTACCCACAAATTGACACGAGTGTTTCATCTAGCTTCTACTGGCTGTATGCCGTAATATGTTGTTTCCATGAATACAAGGCTGACAATGTCACTCCCATTACAGGTTTTATCACACTTGTCTGAGTTGGAAACAACCTTAGAGGCTGGCCTCCAGCATCGGGATAAGGCTCTCACCTCCATTGGGCTTTATCTTGCTAAGTGGATGAAGATGGTAGGATATGACTGTTGCATCTTCTTCTGTTTAAACTCAAAATATCTGCTGTTCTAGGGGTAAACTAAGTTCACTTCCTGAACTCTCCTTTCTAGGTGAGAAGGGAAAAGGCTGTCTATGACACATTAAATATGCTAAATTTTGATGTCACAAAGAAGTGTTTGGTTGGTGAGGGTTGGTGTCCTATATTTGCAAAAACTAAGGTACTTACTTGTTCTAGACTTCTAGTGTTTTATGTTGTAGGTGTTTGTGGAGATACCTGATTAGCTGTCATTTATATCATATTGATTGAAGGGAAACCGTATTGCAGGTTCAAGAAGCTCTACAACGTGCAACAACTGATAGTAACTCACAAGTGGGTGTAATATTTCATGTAATGGATTCAATTGAGCCTCCTCCAACATATTTCCAGACAGACGATTTTACAAATGCATATCAAGAAATTGTTGATGCTTATGGGTAAGTCAATAAGTGTAATTATATAACTTCGGGATGATATTCTCCCCTTTAATTTTTTGGGTTTCTCTTTGCTATTTGTTATCATCAATTTTTGGGCAAGTTGATATACGCTATTGATCTTAGGTTGCAAACCCTATCATATGTTTAACATTTATTGAAGAACTGGACTTAAAATGATGTTTGCTTTCGTTTCATGTCTGTGCATGCAATTACTTAGCTGCATAACTGTAAGGCAACTAATGCAAAACTTTATTTGGGCAGTGTCGCTAAATACCAGGAAGCAAATCCTGCAGTTTATACTATTGTTACATTTCCGTTTCTTTTCGCTGTAATGTTTGGGGACTGGGGTCATGGTATATGTTTACTATTGGGAGCATTATATCTTATTGCCCATGAGAAAAAGTTTGGTTCACAGGTATGCCATCTCATTTTGGTTATATGTACTTTTTCCTTTTTTTCACTTTAGTTAATCTTTTGCTTTACTATTCTGTATAATTTAAATTTTATTTCTATCAGAAACTTGGCAGCTTCATGGAGATGCTATATGGTGGCCGATATGTCCTCCTTTTGATGTCCCTCTTTTCAATTTATTGTGGTTTGATATACAATGAATTCTTTTCCGTTCCTTTTCACATATTTGGAAGCTCTGCCTACCAATGCCGAGATGCCACATGCAGGTACAATTGTGTATGTTCCATTCCTACTGGGTTTGAATTAGAATAACCGACTATTACCATTTAAATTCACTATAATGATTTGCCTTTCTCGTGAAATTTATTCTCTTACATGAGATTTAGCTTGCTAGTCAATTGAATATCCATGTTGCCTTTTCACCAAGCAGGAGTAGTCTGAGTTCTCTCGTACTCAGTCTGGTTACTTTATCATTCAGTAGGAAATTTTTTTGGTTCTCTTATGTTTTCTGCTTTACATATGGTTTCTTAACTTTCAAGCTCTGTATGGTAATATTTAGGTTCGACTTCTCACATTGGTGTATAATACAACTCATGTTATTGCTCTCTTTCTCACCTCAACAGTGATTCTCGATCAGTTGGTTTAATCAAATACCGAGATGCATATCCATTTGGTGTGGATCCAAGTTGGCGTGGAAGTCGTTCCGAGCTGCCTTTCTTGAATTCTCTCAAAATGAAAATGTCAATTTTGTTTGGTATTGTACAGATGAATCTAGGAATTATACTAAGTTATTTAAATGCCCGCTACTTCGGCAACTCACTTGACATTAAGTATGTTCTCTCCTTTTCTCAACCTTTTGAACTTTTAGCATCTCTTGTCGAAATTTAATCTTTTACTTTCTCTCTAGGTATCAGTTTGTGCCACAGATAATCTTCCTTAACAGCTTATTTGGGTATCTTTCCCTTCTCATCATTACGAAATGGTGTACTGGTTCCCAAGCAGATCTCTATCATGTGATGATTTACATGTTCTTAAGTCCTTTTGAAGATTTGGGTGAAAATCAGCTCTTCTGGGGTCAGGGTGTACTTCAGGCATGGTCAATCATTAAATCTTGGTCTAATTATTCCGTTTTATATGCATATACACACATCCTTGCAAAAAATACATAAATGCCATTAAAAATCCGTGTCCATATATACATGCATAAATTAAGAATTAAATCTCTCTGGCAGGTTGTATTACTGATTTTAGCTATTATTGCTGTACCGTGGATGCTCTTCCCCAAACCTTTTATTTTAAAGAAACTTCACACTGAGGTACTACTATCTATATCATTTCTGTTCGTTTACAAATCTTTCTTTATCTTATCCAGCCTGATCTTTTATGCATTTTAGTTCTGATAATATACATTTACAAGTTTTCTGGAGAACCAAACTAGTTTTCACAAAGCCGCAGAAAAAAAATAGATTGTAATACTGAAGTCCTGATACAATTGAAAAAGTTATTGACATTTCTATTTCTTGTGCAAATCTTAGAGATTTCAAGGTCGGACGTACGGTATTCTTGGTACCTCCGACAGTTATGATGATGAGGTCCCTGATTCCGTAAGACAACCACAACCCGATGAGTTCAATTTTAGTGAGGTCTTTGTGCATCAAATGATACACGCCATTGAATTTGTACTTGGCTCAGTTTCAAATACCGCATCATACCTCCGGCTATGGGCTTTGAGGTAGGAGCAGTTTCAACATGGAGTTATGCATAATTTTCATTATCGTCTCATTCATTTTCTAATTCTTGCCCGTGATTTCAGCTTGGCCCATTCAGAACTATCGACTGTGTTCTACGAGAAAGTTCTCGTCCTTGCTTGGGGGTAAGTTTTGGCAGCAACAAACACCTCTTTTTTCAGTTTGTTCTTTTTGGGGTTTTAACTTATTGTAGTTTCAACATGCTCTTGATTTTTTAATAATGCAACATGCTCTTGACTTTTGACTAATGCATGAGGTCTGCTTGCAAAATTGTTGTGCTCGTACTACAAATAAGGCAAAACACTGTTATATTTCTTGATATAGAAGCAGGTGAAACCAATGTCGAGTTTTGTCTGGATCACAGTAAGACTTGATGACTTCAATTATCGAAATGATGATGAGCGGAGCAGAAAGTCCAGGTCAAGTTTCGAGAAGCAAAATCTCGGAACCTTATGGCGTCTATTGTTTTGGGAATGTAATGAAATGGTATAATCCCCATACAAGCAGTGTGTGGCAAGGGGAAGATTCAATAGGATTTTATCAAAATAGTCCCAAATATATTTGTAGGTATTTGGAATGAATAAATTAAGAAAAGAAACTTGGTATTTTACGCCATTCTACTGAAAATTCTTCTTTGTAAGTGAAATCTTGCTGAAAATGACGTAAAATACCACGTTTCTTCTTTGAATTCAATTTAAATTTCCACCGGCAACACAGCCTCACGTTTAAAACATTCGAGGGTAGCAGTATATAGTTGATTCCACTTCCTGTGCATGTAATGCTTCCGGAACAGGATTCAAGATCTAGATCCGAGATCGAGTTCCAATCCCCCATTGAAAATTCCTGACGGTTCAAAAAGATCATTTACATGACAAATATAGGCGATGCATCGATTTTTTTTTAATTTTTTAATGTGTTAGATGCTGAGCAACTTTTCCCATTTTATGATGCCTGATGGTTGATTTGCCTTTTGTATGACTAATCCGATCTCGATTAATGCAGGTATGACAATCTTATCATCCGTTTGGTTGGCCTAGCAGTTTTTGCTTTTGCCACAGCTTTTATACTTCTAATGATGGAGACCCTCAGCGCTTTCCTGCATGCTCTGCGTCTCCATTGGGTGGAATTTCAGAACAAATTCTACAGTGGCGACGGCTACAAATTCGTGCCGTTTTCTTTTGCTGCTTTAAATGAAGAAGAAGATTAGAACACCTTTTTTCTTGGCGTGCTCTTCGGTTTTTAATTTCTTTTGTCAGGAAATAGCCAGGGGAAATGAAGTTTTTCCGAACTAGCAAAGCAATGGAGTATAGATTATAGAATTAAAGCTTATTTTGAGCTGTAAAATGATACGAATTACGGATTACAGATTACGGATTTATGGGAGTTGCAATTGTAAATCTTGGCTCAAGATTGTTTAGATGCAATTGACCGGTTTTATGTGGAGGGCGTTTGAGTAATTTTCTCTGAAAAAATGAAAGAAGGGATTAGTGTTCAATTGTTGTAAAGAGGGATGTGTTCTGACTAATGTATCTTACCATACAGGTTCGTGGGATTGACAATTATATTTTGTACTATTTATTTAGAGTTTTTCTTTTTTCGACTTTTCTTTTATAATTCCAGTTAACATTTTTTCAATATGTTTGCAAATACAGCTTAAAGACGCAAGTAAATTCGATAATGCCAAATAAACGTAGGAAAACACGAACGTAATATTAATAATTGTAATAGCAATAAAATGAATCAATGCTAACAGAATAATTCAACTACCACAGTCGGATACTCGGGCACCGGAATCCATTTTTTTTGCTAATGCTCCACCAATTCATCAGTTATCTGCAAATCAACGAAGAAACGCATTTTTTGTATCGGAAATTAATCAGTGTTGCGCTTATTTTCTTCGATAAAAACACTAGAATATTTCGATAGACTGTATAAGAATAAAGAAGATTAATGTAGGTTTGTTCCATTTTAAAGGTCTCATAATTTCTAAATTTTCAAAAGTGTTGTCTTCGGAATATTTACAGTTTTAGTACCCCAAATTTGCACGTTTTTCACTTTTAGTCCCCATTTAAGGCCGTCAACAAAATTTTTAAAGTCGTCATATTTCAGCACATTTAGTCATCAGGGCTGAATTTGAGATTTTTCTTTTGAGAAAATTGTAATAAAACCCCTGTATTATTTTAAAACTTTAGATAAAACCCCTTTAAAATACTTCAATCTTCGGAGTACAAATGTAGCGAGCAGCAGCGGAGGATTGTGAAACCTCGTAAAAAAATGGCGTCCACACTTGATCACAGTCTACACTGTATCTAACTGTATGTATATATAGATTTGTTAATATACCCTGCAATTTTCGAATTACGTGGTGCCTCAAACAGACGCCACGTCTTCCCCTTCATATATTCTCGCTTTTTTCCACTCGTCGAATTCCTCCTCTTTCTTCTACTGTAAAACCCTCACAAATTCATGGAGGGAGCTTTCAAAAATTCTGATAATGGAGCGGTCGAATTCTTCAAGAGGGAGATGGGCTTCTCCGCTCCCAGGGTTTTCTCTCGCCGCATCTCCGCTTCACAGGTGCTTGCCCTCTCTCCGCTTTATCCTATTTTAATCGATGTGTATCTTTCTATTATATAGTTTTTTGTGGATGTAATTGAGCTCATTGTGCGGTTTTTTAATTTGGATTGGATGATGATTTTGTGTGTATAGAATTCTCTGTTTTTTGTTCGTGTATTACTATTTGCGACTGTGAATTTGGGATTTAAAATACTTCATCGTCTTCATCAGAATTATAATAGGTTCTTATGTTGTTGGTGATGATTTCATCTGCATATAACACCACCCACCCAACCACAAGCCCCACCGAAAAGCAAGATGATTTTGGTTATTGCTTTATGGTTTTCAAATCCGATAAATTGTGGATGCGAAAGCCTAGAGTCTTCTAAGCTATTGGACTCATTTTAAGTTTTGTCTTAGCTTGTTGGTAGTATGATAGTAACCAAACTTTTGGTAGAAGATAATTGGACCGTTTTATTGTTTTTGCACTTCTTCATGTGTTGCCCAAAATTCTGCATCTTCGGCCAAGTGTACGTGATCAATTACATGTGTGTAAGTGTGTATTTTAAGGAACTTTTTCTATTTGCAGTTTGCATGTATCTGTGATGTGCAATATGAGATGAAGCACCAAGTGCAACAGTAGATTCAAACTGGATTTTTCATCCTTGGAATAGCCAAATATTTCCCTTATCTATATCCTCTTTAATACGTCAACCCTCTCTGCAGATTATGCGTCTTTTCGAACTTATTGTTTTTCATATGGATGTTTGCTTGATTGATGCAGACCATGATCAAGCGGATTGATTTGTATGGGAAACTAAGTGGCCATCAGGGTTGTGTAAATACAATTGAGTTCAACTCCACCGGTGAGATTCTCGTCTCAGGTTCTGACGACAAACAAATAATGCTTTGGGACTGGGCTACACAGAAATTGAAATTCTCTTATCCGTCTGGACATTTGGACAACATATTCCAGGCCAGAATTATGCCATTCACTGATGATCGAAAAATAGTCACTTCATCGGCTGACTGTCAGGTAAATTTCGCCAAAAAGATATGAATATTAGAGTTCTATAAACATTGATCGAATGATAGTTACTTATGGAGATACCTAATAGTTATGGAGAATGATAGAAGGCTTTCACTGCTGCTTAGTTTGAAAGTTATTACTTTGAATCTAGTGTGTTCATCTAAGTAGCGAAACAGTACCGATATATAGTACGTGTGTTTGTAATTGGACTGGTTTGAATATGAATATTACATATCAATTTACCAAAATTCACACGTCATAGCGCAATTCTCTAAAAAAATGGTGCTTATATTGTAAACATCTAGACATTCTTAATGTTTGTGGCCTTTTTTTTTTCTTTTTTACATATATGCTTCTAAGTGATACACCATTATCATAATTTTTTCTCCTTTTAAGTTTTGCCTCGAAAAAGGGTTGTTTAAAATATAAGTTTAGGATTCTGTTGTTCACATTCAAATTATGATTTCCTATTTCAGGTCAGGCTCAGCCAGGTGTTGGATAACGGTTCAGTCGAAACAAAGAGATTATCGAAGCACCAAGGTCGTGTTCACAGGCTTGCTGTCGAACCAGGAAGCCCTTACGTGTTCTACAGCTGTGGGGAAGATGGCTTTGTCCAACATGTAAGGCTTTTAAAAAATCCTAATATTCTCGATACACACATTTCCTTTTAAATCCCTTATTATCATTTTCTAGACTCCTCAATTTCTTTTTGCAGTACGACTTACGAAGTAATTCCGCCACAAAGCTTTTCTACTGCACATCCATGGCAGAAAACAACAGCCGATCTTCTTCAAGCAGTATCGGACTGAACTCCATTGTTATCGATCCAAGAAACCCTAATTATTTCTCTGCAGGGGGCGCAGATGTTTACGCTCGCGTTTACGATATCAGGAAATACCAAGCGGACCCATCAACTAAAGCTGGGACCCCCGTTGCAACTTTTTGCCCCCGTCACCTTAACGGGACCCACGATGCCCATATTACAGCGTTGGCTTACTCGAACACGAGCGAGCTGCTCGTTTCTTACAATGACGAGCTCGTATATTTGTTCCAAAAGAACATGGGATTGTGTCCAAATCCTTCTTCTTCCCTGTCTGAAGACACGCATAAAGAGGCCGATGCACCGCAGGTTTATACAGGTCATAGGAACTCTCAGACAGTCAAAGGAGTGAGTTTCTTTGGTCCGAACGATGAGTATGTCTTAAGTGGGTCAGATTGTGGTCATATATTTATATGGAAGAAGAAAGGCGGCGAACTTGTTCGTTTGATGGTTGGCGATAGGCATATCGTGAACCAGCTGGAACCCCATCCGTTGATTCCGGTCCTTGCCTCGTGTGGAATAGAGAAGAATATAAAGATGTGGGCCCCATCTTCAAGTGTTATTACCAGTCTGCCTGATAATGTTCTGGAGGTAACATCCTTAACTTGGATACTTACTTCAAGTTGTGCTCGAAATTCCAGTTGTTTTCAACTCTTTATGCTCTGTTTAGATTAAAGAAAATGCCAAGTAAAATAGATGAAAAAGGACTATGTAAAAGAGATTTCCTGTTTGGTTAGGAGGTAAGATACTAGGTAAAATAATCTGGCGGTTCAATATTTGAACAGAAAAATCCATTTTCCTCAAAAAAAGGTGAGGAAAACTACACGTAAAAGCTAGCAGATTTTATATCTTCAATTACAATTCCTCTCCGTCCTAGGAAATACCCAATTATGGGAATAGTTCACCTCCATGTCAGAACCTCAACAAACACGATTTTGCAAATTCTTTTTTTTCGCCTTTTTACATTTTTATTTCCTCATTTCAAAATCCACGAACGAAATAGAGCCTTATATTTTTTGTCCGTGTGTGAACTGAACAGATAATGGAAGCCAATAGGCAAGGGCGTGAGGACCATTCACGCGTAACTTTCACTCCTGATGTGATCATGCATGTTTTGCGCCTGCACAGAAGGCAAGCGCGTGTATTTATCGAACCGAGGTATAACAGAGAAGATATCAAGAGCGATGAGGATATTGAAGGAGAGTCTTATGTTCTTGGATTCTCTGACGGTGATGCCACTGAGGATGGTGGTAACTCGAGAGAGTGTAATATTAGCTAGAGTTATGTAATTATTGTCAATAAGATTTCCTTTTATCGTATATCAATCTTGTATAATTCAGTTATATTTCGAGATCTTATAGTTGGTCTCTACAGTCCCGGTTATGTAATATCATCCTCTGCCTTTCCTTAGCTCGGAGATGCTAGCAGTAATAAAATAAAAATCAACCTTTTGTCTCTTTCTTCGTCATCGTTGCAATCTGTGAACAAGTTGAAGAAAACGTTGTTCTTACAATAATAATAGCATGTACCAAAAAATTGAGACAGCGTCATCTTACAACTTCTGTTATATTCTGACATATTTTGGGGGATGTCTGTAAAATTTTCGTTCTTTTTCAGAAGCAGATTGGGATTTAAGATGGTTATATGCGGATTTGAAGGTCTGCTCAAACTTGATCGCTTTTCACAGGTATGTGGCCTCAACTGATTGATTGTTTCCTCACTTTCTAGCTTCATATTTTTCTTAAAGTAGGTGCTAAATATAGAAGAGACAGATACAAGAAAATGTGTCCACTCTGAATTATGGAAGCACAATTTACTGAATGCTAGTTAGATAATAGTAAACTGGTTCTTGTTTTCTATGTAACAAGTGTTAGTGTTAAAGATAAGAGTTTCACGTAGAGTTCACTTAGTTGCTTGCCATATATTTGTCCTCCTTAAGCCAGATTTGTTAAATGGAATTATGATGGTAGAGAAAAACTAACGGAATACACTTTGAGTTGTGCAGGTTCTTTATTACTGTCCTTGATACGTCCTTACATCATCAACTTTTATTACAATCATGTTCCGGTTCCTCAACGTTTTGATACTTGTACAACGTGGCACATGCTATATAGTAAACGAAATTCAGTCCTCCTACTATGCAGCACAGCCAGTACACATTATCTAGCCTCCCATTGTTTATATTGTCTGGAAGCCACCCTGTCACCCTCCTAACCAGATCAATAAGTGCATTGCTAATATAAAACGCAATCCCAATAAACATGGCAACTGCTGCAGTTGAGGTGCTCTTCATCGATTCCGGAAATTCTTGGTAATAAAGTGCAACTTGTCCCGGAAAATGGAACGCTTCTCCAAGACCAGCAATCGCCAGCTGTGGGACCAACCAGAAAGCAGAAATCGGGACAACTACATTTGTTTGATTTTGGAGATTCCTAGAGTGCGCTATATTTAGCCTCTTCAGCTCCACCACCGCTGATACTGCCATACTAATTATAGTAAGTGCATGTCCGATTCCGATTCTTTGAAGAAGTGTGAGTGGCCTTTTGGTGAGTTTTTCCCAAAGTGGAAATAAGAGGCGGTCTATGATGAAAATGGAGACTGAAGTTGAGATTAATATGAAAACGGGCATGGAACCCGCGGGGATTCTGAAGTGGGACCCACCATGGAGGCGGCGGTCCATGGTAAGGGCCTGGATTATAGCCAAGCTTAATTGGATGGCTAGTGGGGTGCACAGGAATACACCGGTAGACCATAGTGGAAAGATTTTAACAAGGCTTTTGAGATCATCCACTTGTTGCACTGTAGATAGTTTCCATTGTTTTGCAATGGAGCCACCTGGCGTAGTGTCTCCTTCGGTTATCAAAGCTGCACGATTCAAGAACCTGTAAAAAATCGCGGTAAGAGTTTTCATAGAGATTTTTTTTTTATGAGATCCTAGTTCATAGTTTGCACAAGAAGTAGAAAAAGCTGACCTGAAGAAAGGTGTAGGAATCTTAGCTGCTGTTTTGTGGGAACGGTCTTCGTGCAAACCATGGTAATAATCTTCACTTTTGTCTGAAAGAACCATTCTTCTTTTATTGATAGCTCCAACAATAACTTGAGCTAAGCTCTTAAACGGGCTCCCTTGTGTCTTAACAATGCGATAGAACCGGCTTCCAGACAAGAAAACGACCAGACCAAACACATTAGCCATAGCACATAGGCTGAAGCCCCATGCCCAACTTACATTGTCCTGGACATACACTATTGCCGTGGAGCTTATAACTGTGGCTGAGTACATTGTGAAAATATACCAGTTGAAGAATATTCCTTGATGCTTTGAGCTGTCGAATTGATCCGCTCCCATTGGTGCAATTGTGAAACGTGCGCCTGCAGTTCCTAGAGATGCCAGTGCTAAACCGAGATATAAGATTGCGAATTGAAGATGTGATGGATATTTGCATTCACTCGATCCGTTTTCGCATGTTGGGGGTCTCAAGTGTTTGATTGCTGCTGTTAAAACTAGAAGCAATGTTCCCTACACTAGCGAAAAACGGTTAGTCTTTTTTCCATTTCTTTTTTATATCTAATTTAATAATAGTTTGAATTTTTGTTGCATGGCCAAAGAATGTAGAATAGCTATAGATATATTATTTCATCTAATCAGATACATATATTGTAGGAGAAGAATGAAAAGTACCAGGAGAGAGATGAGAGACGAAAACCAGATGACGGAGAAGCATCCGACAAAGGAGTCAGCGATGATTGCTCCGACTATAGGAAACAAGGTAATGCTTCCGTTTACGAAATTATATATCTTAGCAGCATTTATGCTCTTAATGTTGAACTCTTCAATCAAATATACTATCAAGTTTGCCACCCATCCTCCTGCTGCTAGTGTTAGGCAACCCATTGTCCCTGTGTGTGTGTTTTAATTTTCACAAAAATGTCCATAGTTAGCACAATGTGATCATGTTAATACTTATTGAAATATGGAAAAAATGTTGGTTGAAGAAATAAACCTATGATAAACGGAAAGGTAGTCCATCCTCCCCGCCTTGTTCGAGCTGCTTCATCCATGGAGTCTCTCTTTCTCTCCCTCTCTCTCTCACACACACACACTACAGTCACTGACACTGAACTTCAACCTGTTTATGCTATGAAGAGACTGATGTTGAGAATTTCTTTAAGTCCAAAATAAATGTTGCTGGTGTACCAATTCTTATAAATAATTATTTCATAGCACAGCAAACCATTCTTTGGAAAATTGCATTGCCAGCCAGCAAAAGTCAGCATTCTTTCTCCTTAAAATAATACTTGTTGTTGGATTATTTGAGAAAAAATGGACCATGTTGGCTTTGTCTGTTTAGGAGATGAGAATAACTTTACAGACATGTCACTACCTCCCAAGATGATCTAAATCCTTTAGTATTATGTCTAGCTGACTATTGTCACATACTTATAATATGTCATGATTATTGGTTGAGTGCTATTTTACAGCTGATGTACACAAGAGTTGATTTTGCTTGATCTTTTGTTGAAACAATGATGAAATGATCTTTTTCTTCACTAATTTAAAGATAAATTACGAAGAACTCCCTGAACTTAGGCTAAATTACGAAAAACTCCCTCACCTATCCGTAATTACCAAACCTCCCCCGATGTTTGTTTTCGTCTTACACCAACCTCCTTATGGTGTGATTTTTCACGAAATCTTGTCTATTCCGGTGAATATTTCGCCAAAATTGCTAATTCTACCCGTGACATTTCTTTATGCTACTTTTTGAAGACAAAAATTAACCTCGTAGGGGTAATGGTGATACTAAAAAGTTGTGAATGTGTTATTTAAGAAGAATAAAGATTTCGTGTAGAGGCCCCCCTAAGGTTAGTTTTTGTCTTTTAAAAGTAGTATAATGTCACGTCTGGGGTGAAATCGGCATTTTTTCGGGAATAATCCCACGACTCCAAAAGATTCCGTGAAAAACCACACCATAAGAGGGTCGATGTAAGATAGAGACAAACTTCAGGGGGGTTTTGGTAATTACGAATAGGTGAGGGTGTTTTTTTGTAATTTAGCCTAAGTTTGGGTTTTTTTTCGTAATTTACCCCTAATTTAATGATGGAAGAAGCAATAATTGAGAAGATTGATAATTGATTGATATGTATCACCAATAAATGCGTGTGGTGTGGTTGACTAAAATTAAAGTTTTGACTTTTCTATTCAAATTTAATTTACGAAAATGTCCAGATAAGATTCAGATTTTTCCAAAAAGAGTTATATTTATAAATTATAATATTCTTATATATTTATATAATTTGGGTTTTAGCATTACTTAGAAACATAAATTTGAATCTTGAATGTCTGAATTACATACAATCTGCACATAACATAATTTAATGTGCAAACAAAAAAAAAAAAGAACAAAATCTCAAGCCCTCAATATACAGGAGAGGATACACCTTGAAGATTTTAAGACAATTTGCCAGGTGCATAACCTAGCACAAACCGAAAAAATACGAGTGACTAGTTAGAGCAGAATTTGAAGCCCTTCATCTATATATAAAGACGCTTCTGATTCGACCCCCGTGAGTCGAATTTACCTAATCGTTTATAACTCTTTATTGCATATTTTCTTAGTAGTATATATGCGTCTATTTGGCGTCACGCGTAGGATGGATTAAGTTCCAAGGCCTCCTTGTATATCATGTCTTTCATCTGCTCTTCTGTCAGCATTTGATGCTCCAAATCGAAAGAGAAGGGCTCTAAGCATGCCGGTTCGTCTGCTGCGTCGTGTAGCCTTGCTAGGTATGGATGCTCCAAAGCTGCTTCGACTGCAATAAGACATTAAATAATTTTTTTTAAGACACCAATGCAAGAAATTGGAACCTTAATTCTTACAATCATTTCATGATATATATATGTAAGGTAAAATGTAGTTAAAATTCGTTTTAACATTTTTTAGTTCTTCGTTTTCTAAAACAGGTACACAAGTAAAAATAAACATTAAGTAAAATAAATAAAAATTACCCGTAATTCTCTTAGAAGGGTTCGTGGTGAGCATCTTATCGACGAGATCCATAGCCAGAGGATTCACATGTGGGAAAACCTTAGCCAAATTCTGACGAGGATGCTGTGGTAGTTGCCTTATGTACCTTCTCGCATCCTCGTTTCTCGTGAAATCCAGGTCAGAATCTGTTGGTGTTCCTAGAAGCTACAAAAAAGGAAGAAAATATATTCAGTACTGATGATCCAAACCAGGTAAATCAAGAATTCAATTTTTTTTTAATTTGAATATTGTTACCTCGATCAACAAGTGCATTTGATGGACGTGATCTTTCCCAGCGAAAAGAGGCTTTCGATTCATGAGCTCCATGAAAATACAGCCAACGGACCATACATCGATGGCGGCAGTATATTCCGACGAATTCAACAACAATTCAGGTGCTCTGTACCATCTCGTGACAACATATTCTGTCATGACGTCGTTTTCCGTGCTCATTCGGGCGAGACCAAAGTCGCATATTTTGAGGTCACAATTAGCATTAAGCAATAGATTGCTCGGCTTCAAATCTCGGTGTATCACACCGGCTGAGTGTATGTATTTCAGTCCTCTAAGTAGCTGATACAAGAAGTACTGCAAATATACAGGTAAAGTAATTTTTTGTTAGTGTTGGCGCCGTTATTGATAATATAATCCTTGATTAGAGTGATAATATAATCCTTGATTAGAGTGATAATATAATCCTTGATTAGAGTGATAATATAATGTTTACCTGACAGTGTTCTTCGGATAATCCTTGATTAGACCGGATTATTTGGTGAAGATCAGTGTCCATTAATTCAATGGCAATGTATACATCTGTGAATTCTCTTCTTAGATCTGTGAATTCTCTTCTTAGAGGAGGAGGAATTACATCTCTTAAAGCAATCACCTGTGTCAATATTCAAATATTGCGAAATTTTTAGTAACTTGGATAATTTCCGATTTTTCGATTATTTTTTATTTGGATCGGAATCGGAATTGTAGGTATAACGGATAAAAAATACGAACATTTTCGTGATCCAGGTGGCGAAGAAGCTTGATCTCTCTGAGTGTCCTCTTCGCATCCATATAGTTATCGAAAGCATTCGCTATCTTTTTAATCGCCACCATCTCGTTGGTCTCCGAGTTCAAAACCGAGCTTCAGTACACCAAACATTAAAAAATAAATTAATTACATTATTAATTAACTAATTAATAATTCAATTCAATTTGTATTTCTTAATTACCAGACGATGCCGTAAGCGCCACGGCCGATAGGCATGATCGGAGGGCGGTACTTGTTTGTGATCTCGAACATGTTTCCGAAGATGTTGTACTGTATGTACTGACCGCCGTGCGTCGCCGCCGCCGGAAAATCTGGGTACTGACCGCCGGAAGCTCCCATATCTGCCATTTGTTGTTTCTCCTTCTTCTTCTGTAAGTATAATTTGTTACTACAGCCTTGGAATTAATGACGCACGTGTGGAATATCTATATCCGTGACTTGCATATATATATGTATATGTATATATATAGATTGTGTTGATGATATTGAAATTGAATATGTATGTGTATATATATAATTCGCAAATGGAAAAAAAAAACAGTTTCTAGGATGAGAGATGCTGGGAAAGAAGAAGGTAGGGAGGAAGAAAGCGCGTGGGGGGTGGGGGTGGGGGTGGATAATTGAGCCGCCTTTGATCTAACGGCTGGTTTTGGTCTTCTATTGAATCCTATGAATTGCTATTTTATTTTATTTTATTTTGTTTTGTTTTATAATTTGGAAAGTGATTATCTTCTTCTTGTCAACGATTTTGGTCCACTTGTGGTGAGCTTTAGGGAGTAGTAGTGATTATTTTAATAAGTTGCTTGAGTGATTATTGAAGTTTGTGTGTTTATTTAATTTAATAAAGTTTGAAATTTTTGATTAATTAAAGTGACAAAAATAAAAATAGGTGAGGTAGCACGTTTTTTACAAGTTTAAGTAAAGGGAAATAACATGGAAGAATCGTGGAAGAATTATAAGTGGGAAAGGAACTGTGAAAAATGTACTGAATATTGATTTCTTTTTGGAAATCTGAGGTTGTGTGTGAAATAAATAAATAATTTCTCCGCATTTTGCTTTTTTTCCACGTCAATTTAACGCTGAGTACCAGTGTCCATATTTTCATTTTCCATTATCTTTATTCTTTATTACTCTACTTGTTATTTTTTTGCTTGGTATTTTTGTAAATTTAGTTGAGCCTGTCAAGTTTGACCAAAAGTCCAACTCAGCACAGACGACTTGGCTGTGACTTGTGACTTTATGAGGCATGCTTCAATTATTACTTTTATATTTTTTCAGATGTTATTTTTAGAATTTCTTTTTTTTTTTTGGTAAAATTATCCTTAGTCAGCAACTAATATGTACAACCTTACATTCGTAAGGTACAAGCCTTAATCTGTCAAGGTTTGACTTGTAACCTAATCATGACTCCTCATCCAAATATTGAACCCTAAATTGACCAACTTTTCAAATTGAACCCTAACCTAAGTAGTCAAGTTTGTTTCTAATCCAAAAAAATATACGTTCAGTGTATTAAAAATAAAGTTAGTTCTAAAGTTATTTAAGTATCACAAACCATTTATAAATTCTTAATAATGAACAATATTGCATTAGCTTGGATCCCATTGAAGATGACCATGATTTTTAAGCACAAGTTTGAAAAGTACTATGAGAATTATACACTTCTGAAAGTGTAATATACGTTATTTTAACATGGCCGTTTTAGTTTTGCCCCAAACCCGAATCCAAACCCGCATCTAAACCCGTATTACCATCCAACTGACTCCATCGCATTTGACCCAATCAATAATCATGGTTTGACTTTTGACTCGCTCACAAGTCAATGTTATCGATTAGGTGACCATAGGAAAATTATATATGATATGATGCCAAAGCTGGTGACTTCAGATTGAGCCTACAGTTAATCAATCTACAAAATTAATTTGGAGAGAGAGAATAGATCCGTCAAATTTTCTGCTAATTATTATTCAAGAAGGACCAATTCACCATATACCATTGACAATGTCGAAATTCGAAGATACCATTGACAATGTCGAAATTCGAAGAGAAAAAAGAGACTATCAAAAAGAAAAAACATGAAAGAACGATCCGCCGGGACATCCATCACTACTCTGTAGCTTAGGCTTCTGCAAATCTGCAAATCAAATGTACAATGTTAACGAAAATGCCAACACCGAAAAGCTTTGGACAATAACTAAGGTCGTTTTATTAATTACCCCAACTCGGATAGCTTCATGTGAGCCACAGCATAATCGGCAAAGAAAGCATCCTCATCCTAAATCAAAACAATCCATAAGCAAACATACATTATATACATACATATATATATATATATATATTTATATTTTATTTTATTTTTATTTTTATTTTGGCTCACACACCGCAGCGTATTTCTCAACAAGGGGGCGGAAGACAGGATCGGAGAGAAGTGCCTTGTCTGATGGCAACATCAAAAGACCTTCTTTATCTCCACCTAAAAGCACCCTGTTAACAAATCCAGAGAGAAACAAATTACAAGACTCGAGCAGCAGAAATTGCAAGAACATAACATACATTAATTTCGTATATAACAACTCAAAATCCACAAGTATAACTGTATAAGAGGGTGTATATGTCTTACGTAAAGTAAGAATTATCGAAAATGAGAGGATTAGGAGTCCATGGTCCATCAAATCCCGAACGTTCCTTGTGGCATCTTCCCTGTTATAAAAAATATATTTATTTTATATAGTTACAGCCCTCTCAGAATATTATGTAAGAATTATTAATAGTGTGGAGAAAATTGTAAAATAGTAGCAAATACAAACCAGAGTGTGGCCACCAGAGAGTGCTACAATATCCTGATCGCTCAGACCCATTTGTTTCCCGAAAACATCCCTCAAGTGGTCACATCCTGCATAACAGAAAAAAATTATGATCAAATTAGAGAGACATAAGATAAGAATAAAGTAATGTTGTTAACATAAGATATTAATTTCCTTCTAATACAAAAAAAATTACTAATCGGAGAATGACTAAACTCACCCTTGGTAGCATCAGGCAAGCGGCCTTCAATAGGGGGCTCCTCCTTGTCCTGAGATTTCAATAGAATGATAAAGCCATTACGTAAATACAATATTCTCCGTATTGAAATGGAAAGAATTCTAATAGTTTTCACAAGATTGGTCTACCATTTATGAGAAGAACGAGAAAACAGAAAAGCCATCAGTTACTACTACGATCAATTTTAAACATGCACAATGAATGATGCGTGAAATGAAAGACGAAATAAAACGATGGTGACCTTTATATATTTTAAGAAAAACCCTCCATTTAGACAGAACACTCAAAATGACTACCTACACAAACGATCCTTCCCTCACTTCATACATGATAAAGAAATAACATTACACTAAGTAGTAACGCTCATTTGATGCTCAACACCACCACAGTTTCACAGTACAAGTTAACATAGATTTCAAAGCACGATGGTAATAAACAATATATTTAATTAAAAAATCCAATTAAGGAAGGAAAAAGGGGAATATTCACCAACCTGCCTCCCAGGGTGAAATGGAACTTCAGGCCCTCCAGTTATTTCAACAGCAACAACACCAGCCAACTGTGACGAGCAAAACGACACCAAATTTTTTTCAACTCCATGCAAACGTGAAATATATTCTTGAACGAAATAAAAGTAAATAAATAAAATTACCTGATAGAAATCGGCATAAGAAAGTATGGGGAACTGTTCCTTGATGGGCTCCAAAAGATTAATAGCAATGTGGATACCATTGTTAGCACCGTGTCCCTGCTCAGCTTTGAATCTCATTGTCCCAAATGGACCTCCGGTTTTGCTGCCTTGGTCAAATGTACCAGCAGAGTGCCACCTACAATCATATTACTGAGATGAGATGATAAAAATAAAATAAAAAACATATTACTGAGGCATAATAGATCTCAAATCTCGGTCAAATCTTTTTTATATCATGCTTTCGTTGGTAGATTACGTCGCATGTTGTATTTTTCAAATGTAAAAAAGAAAGAAAACGTATATGTTCGTAATAGTTTAAGATTCTAAAATAGACGATGAATAATTGTATTCAAATGATATTGTAAAATTACTCGTGCATCATCCGAAGAACGTGTTTCCTTACTCTACAGATCAGAATCACTAGAAAATCATCCGCAATCATCGGCACAGCACTAGACTCAAAGCCATAAATCGGATCACTCATATAAGCCATATATACTCAAGTCAAATTAATTATGCTTCTCTAAATATCACATGCATCAATTTAATAGATGTAAAAAGGATAGAAAACAAATACATTCGAATAAAATAACATAACGACGATGATCATCATTTAATGTGCTCCACAGATCAAATCACTATACCATTATCATAAACAAATCATTCAATATCAATCAAAAATTCAAAATCCACAAAATTAAAACGTAAAAACAACAAAAAAAAATAAAAAAAAAATTACGGAGGCGCAAAAAACTCACGCAAGGCGGAGCATGAGAGGAGCGCAGTTCTTCTCAGCGATAAACCCTCTGAGCTTCTTCTTACATTTATCTACAGCCTTCAGGTACTCTTCACTCACAGCTGGGTAATTCTTCACCATCTTCACCTCTTTCTACAATCAGATTCATCAAACAAAAAAAAATCAAATCAAATAAAAATCGTACAAATCACTTGCATTCTTACACATATTAAAAATGCGATCGCAAAATGCAAAAATGAAAAACCGATAATTAGATCGAGCGTGTGTAGAGTGTCAATCGCACCTGATGAAAAAAAATGGAGAGATCGAAAAATGTAGAGATAAAACTGTATGGAACTGTATTTTGCGAGTGCGTAGAGAGCAGAGCACAAGCAGAGTGAGGTGAATAGGTGAAATGTGGCGTTTCATATATATAGGGAAAGAGTGAGGAGATGGAGAGAGAGTTTTATTGGAGATTAATGTGAAGCCGTTGGATCGGAACAATCGTGAGGCTGGCATTGTGTTTAGAGAATCGACGGCTACGATTGGATATTTTGCTTTTGACTATTTTTATTGGTACATAAATCTGGTGAATATTTTGTCAGTTTTATTACTTTATAAGGTGGCGGAAATTAAAAAAATTGGATGGCTTTGTAGGTAAAATCGGAAATAAATTTTTATTACTGCCGATTTCAATTAGATAGTTTCTGATTTTCGAATAATGTAAATGTTTCTTGTTTCGAAATCTAAATATTCCCGATTTCTTTTTCTAAAAAGTTATTGGATCGGTTCGGCATCTCTGGGCCGAACTTCTCGTACTCATAATTATTGGGGCGAGGCCTAATGAGTGATGAAAATTTAAGTCCATTGAAAAAAGACTGACCCAGTGAATGATAAACACCAAGAGGAGCCGGACTGATAATAAGTAGATCGTTGAACATGCAACTCGCGCATATTATAAAGCCTATTAACATGTAACGGGTCGCGTAAAAGGGTGAATAAGGGGTGGTAGGTGGCGAGCTTGAAAATAGCCGCTAGAGAGGAAGATCTTAGCATAATTTCCATAAATAGAAAAAAAAAGTAAATTAGGGTCGATAATTGATCAATCAAGGAAAAATTCTGGCGAATGAAGAGATCCTAAATTATGAAATAACCATGTATAATTTTCTATACAAAACGAATATGAAGAACCCTACTATAGGTTTACAATTGAACATCAATAAAATACTTTTTTTTTATACTTTAACTCTCTAACATTTTTCAGTCACTTATTCATCGCCATCCGAATCTAGGCACCCGACGATCGGGTGAATTGAGTTCAAAGGGAAATCTTGAGAGTACATATTCTGACCGATCAATATATATATGTATTACATTCATAATTCTAGCTCGATTATAATTTATAATAAAAAAATAATTTTGTTTCGAAAATTACACTTGCTTTTTGTTCTCTAGGAATAAAAATAGAATATTTTCTTTTTGACAGAAAAACAGAATATTCTGAAATTTATATATAGTATTTTTTATAGACGATTCATTTGATTTTTCAGCCAATACAAACACCACCCACAGGATTAACATGCATATCCCATCATCAATTAGATTTGCTACCTACCATTTATAAGTCGGATCCTCCATAAGTACCAGATCTCAACTCGGATTCAAACCCGACAATTGAACTTCAAACCCGACTGAATAGAAACTGCATAAAAGGATCCATAGTCCGAATCCGCCTCTTCTCTTTCCTCACTCTAATTTTCTCTCTCTAGACTCTCTCTAGACTCTCTCTGAATTCTCCAGTCTCTGTGGCTATCTTTCTCTCTCTATCGATATCTATATCTCTGCGTCGCTATTCATCTCATACACCTCTTTCCTCGATCCAATCATCCACTCTGTAAGTCGCCGCATTTTCCAATCTCAATTCCTCAATTTAGATCTCTCATTCTGTTTACAGATGGTAAAATCTAATTTTTTTTTTATTCGATGAATCAATTTGATTTGTGTTGATTTCATGGTTGTCTTAAGTTCAATTGCTGCACTAGAGTGTTCTTTTTTAACTGATTTTAATTTTGACCATGTGTCTCTATTTTGTCTCGTACTGGATTCACTTTTAATTGGTTAGCAATTAGTGGGAATTATTTAAGATTTTGTGTTTGGATATTTGATTTTAATTTAATTTTGAAAGCGGGTATACTTTATTTCATGGATAAAGGATTTTTAGGGTTTGACTTTGGATTGGGTAGGTAAAAATGATTTTTATTCCTAAAAAAGTTTTAATTTTTTTTTAATTTTCCAGAATTAAGATTCGGATTTTTCCTTTTGGTTTTAGTCGATTTATTCCTCCAAAAAATCGTTATGTTGAATATTTTCTTCGTTTTGAGGGATGGGGAACCACTTGTAATTTATTATTGCATTTTTTAGTAATTTACATGCAATGTTTGGTTGTTTCTAGACAGATAAAAAGATTTGTATGCTTGGGTTGAATTAATATCTACTTTTGTGATAATATAACTTATATACTGTTCTTTAGGCGAAAATGAATGACGAAGTGGAGAAGAGCTGCCCCCTCTGCGCCGAGGAGATGGATTTAACTGATCAGCAGTTGAAGCCTTGCAAGTGTGGCTATGAGGTACATTAGTGCATGTTTCTTGTGATTTTTTTTTTACTTCTGTCAACTTTTGTTTCCATCTTCAATTCCTGCAAACCTTTATCCTCTCTAGCATATTCATCTCCATTTCGCCCATTTACAAGCTCAGGATGTTGAGCTGTACTATGTTAATTGCTCCTCTTTCTCCTAGAGTGTTCTTTTTCGCCTTCTCAGTCTACTCTATTATGCCCTATATATTGTATATACATAGTCTGTAACTGCTGAAGGTAACCAGTTCTAGCAGACATTTCATTTGAAACTTCCAAGTTTGTGGTTCGGAAGTTTCTGAAAGTATGAGGCAATTCTTTCTCAGAGATTTCAGAAAACCGATTATGAGGTTGCCCAGCCAAAGTTGTTATTGAAAGATCTTCCAAAATGTAAATAGGTGAAGGGCAAAGCTGCAAAACTTTCAACATTATGACATAGGATAGCAAGTTTCAAAATTTCTCAAATTAAGCAAATATAGTTGAAAATATCATGTTCTTTTGCAAGTAATAGTAGACACTGCTGTAAATTGGGATGGCTGCTGGTGAGGTTGTGTTTCTTTGTTATGATGTCGAGCTTCGTTTGCATGCAGTTAATATCTAATCATCTACACCCTGTACATGATTGTTTGCTGTCTTCCCTTTCTTTACGCTCTGTTTTTTTCTGCTTTGATGTGAATCTTTTCCTCTCTGTAGATTTGTGTTTGGTGTTGGCATCATATTATGGGTATGGCTGAGAAAGATGAGACTGAAGGGCGTTGTCCAGCATGTCGTACTCCTTATAACAAGGAAAAGATTGTTGGAACTACAGCAAAATGTGAAAGGTTATTACATGTTTTATTAAGTTGATTCCTTTAGGAGATCTTTCAGTCTTTGATCAGGTTATAGTGTTACCTGCTTTAACTGTGATCTGCCTTATATGGTAATAGGCTGATGTCAGAGATGACTGTGGAGAAAAAGTTGAAGTCACACAAAGGAAAGAGCAAAACCTCGGAAGGAAGGAAGCAACTTGGTGATGTGCGAGTTATCCAGAGGACTCTTGTGTATGTTGTGGGGTTGCCACTGAATTTTGCAGATGAAGATGTACATACCTCCCCTGTAACTTTCTGTTTTCCTCCCCAATCTCCTCTGGTTGTTTTATTAATATTGATTTTGGTTGAGCAGGTTCTTCATCGCAGAGCATATTTTGGTCAGTATGGAAAGGTGCTGAAGGTGTCGATATCGCGTACAGCATCTGGTGCCATACAACAGTTTGCAAATAGTACATGCAGTGTGTAGGTTCCAAGTTTCCTGAGATAAATTTTTTTATGTGATATTGGTTGATTTGGGGAGTTGTTTAAAGTTCTAAGGAATTCATGCATATTTACGGGAATGCTCCTGAGGATTGTCGTATTGTCTGCTTTATATATTTTATTTAGCATGGGAGGAATGACAGCCTCAGGTCCATGATAAGCTTAGAAATCTAATTTTATCAAATTTCTAGGTCATATAAAATTGATGTTTATATTTGTTGTGTCTATGTACTAGTCTTGAAATCAGAATTACTTCGTGTATGAGCTGCTCACCCAGGGTTAGATTAACAAATCTTAGGGTTTAAGTCATGTTAAACTTTAATGATTGACATTGCTTGCACGTAATATTTTCTGCAGCATTACATCTTAGTTTAGTACTATCAACGAATTATTTTTTACCCGTTTCTGCATCCTTTAATATAATTATCTCCGTTGTTTTTTGGCCTAGATATATAACATATTCAAAGGAGGAGGAAGCAGTCCGGTGTATCCAGTTGGTACATGGGTTTGTTTTGGATGGTAGGCCTTTGAGGTGAGTGTCGTACTGCATTCATGTACTTTGGCATCTTTTGTGATATTAGATTGTTGTTGAGAACCCCTGCTGCAGGGCATGCTTTGGGACTACAAAATACTGTCATGCATGGCTGAAAAATATGGTACGTCTTTTATACCTTTCACAATTAAATTTTGTCACAAACTCATTAGTTTGTTGATACTACAGATGCTCGGGTATTGCACCCACAGCTTATTGGTTTATACATTGTGTCTCCTAATAAAGAGTTTACATGTTGGTCCAGCCTTGCGGAAATCATGATTGTCTATATCTGCATGAGATTGGTTCTCAAGAGGATAGTTTTACTAAGGATGAAATAGTATCTGCTTACACAAGGTTTTACTAAGGATGAAATAGTATCTGCTTACACAAGGTATTTCGATATCTGGTTTCATTCAGCCGTAAATTTTCCAGTAATAGGGATGCAATAATTTTCGCTTAGACAAGGTATCTCTTTTCTGGATGCGCTCACCTATATATTTTTCGTTTTTCTTATATTGATTTGGCCTGTTAATTGTTATTAAATGTCCATATTTAAATTGGTATAAATTTCTAAACGAGTTGAAAAGGCAAATGTCTGGTATTTTCGCAGTTTTAAACCTTAAAAGTAGTGGTTTACTGGTGCCGGTTGTCATATACATATATCTTAAATAAGAGATTAAATTATAAACGGACTCTCCGTTAATAAGTGATAAACGGAGTCCATTAATTGAATGACACCTGTACAAAAGATTTAAGTATTGCACTATCATTCTCTCGCTACATTTCAAACCATTTTTTAAAATAGAAATACTTATCCTATTCTTATTTTATTTTTCTTATCTTTTTGTTAATTAAAATTTGTTGACCTTTGTCATGCTTCACATCTTAGTTTGCATTATTTATTTTTAATTAGCATAATTCTTAATAAAATATTTTTGTTGTGTACAACCATGGTTCTTTCAACCCTACACCCAATGATAAATACCGGGTGAGTCTTTTGCTTCCACGTGTAATATTTAATTACTTATTATATATTCTCCCACTTGGGTTAACCTTTAGGGGTTTTAGAAAAATACAAATAAGGACATGTGGCAGTAGAAGACTCACACTTGAATATTCCGATTTAAATAAAAAAATATTTTCAAAAAAAATAAATAAAAGAATATATGAAATATTTGGTAATTGATAATCTAAGGAAATTAAATTTTTATCTCAAAAAAAAAATAAGACACAAACAAAGAGAAAATATACAATTCACTTGTTTCGCCCATGCAATTTTAATTTTAAATTGGGTCCATCAAGATTATTAACTAATATTTAATTTAATTTTCCACATGGCATTAAATAAGTGGCATCCGTTTTTCATCTATTAATGGGGAGTCCGTCCCAAATTCGCACCCCTTAAATAAGTGCCACTGTTTTGGACAGAAAATTATCATTTTTGGAACTGGAACTCATTTGTGGATGTCTCGGGAAAAAATGTGTCTGCTACTATTTTGATTTTTGTCTGATATGTTTTATGGATCTGATGTTATTGCCTCTCATGTATCGTATGACTAACATAATGATTCGGAACGAGTAGAGTTCAGCAAATTACCGGTTCTGCAAATGCTGCGCAGCCGCGTTCAGGAAATGTATTACCTCCGCCAGCAGAAGATTACTGCAACAACACCTCTGCATCTTCAGCTAAACCTATAACTAAAACTGCCATAAACACAAATGTAAAATTTCTTTTCTATTGCTTTTGACACTTTTATTCTAACTAATACTACTTGCTGGTTAAATTTTATTTGATTTTCATTTTTTTTTTCTTTTCCCCCTTACGTGGGCACATCTTGTAATTTTGCTGCATTGAGCTTCCTGATACTACTTAAAATCAGTTTTTTGGGGATATTTCATGTTAATGTTCTGTTTTGAATGTGAAATTTTGACTAAACGTAATCACTGCTGAAACACTATAGTCCTTTCTCCTTACTCATACAATTTTCTGGTCCACCAGAATTCAGCTACCAGTCCTGGAGTTTCTCCACCAAATAGTAGCTCTGGAAGATCTGCTGCTCTTCCAGCTGGGGCCTCATGGTACGTCATCCTTTTGTGTAGTTTCTTCCTACTTCCAGTTTTCTACTGTTTCTGAGTGTCCTATTGTCTGTACCAGGGGTTCTCGTCCATTTACTAATCAGCATTTTTCGACTAGTACGCCATGTTTCAATGGGCCATCTAATCAGAAACCTGAAATCTGCAATGGTCCATCGACATTTTCTAAGGCAATTGCAGGGGAAAATCAAGTTTCTTCGTGGCAGAGTGATACTGGAAAGAAGAAGGTTCTTAAAGAAGGAAGCACCCATTCCCAAGAAAAACATAGAACGGAAACTTTTGAACCAGTTAAAAAGGAAACAAAGACAGTTCGAAAAATTACTATACCTGACCGTTCTATGGTATCTGTACATCTTCCCAAGGGACCCTTAATTAAACAGCCTCATAGCGCACCTACAACCAAGGCACCGTCAGAAACTTCGAGTACAGTTGATTCTGCGACAACGTCTAGTGGACCTGCTTCAGACAGAGATTCTATTGATGATCTAGATGGAGACATGGAGAATCTATGCTCTAATATTTTGTCAGCAAGCATTCATGAAAATCAACAGTTACAAAATGGCTATGCTGAGCATTTTAGAGAACCAGTGATTTGTCGAACATCTGGAGAAACTGCAAATTCAATGGAGGTATGTGATGCAAGTGTCCAGTCTGAACATAGATTAGGTATGCCAGCTCAAGTAACACCGGTCAACTTGCATGAAGTAGACGATGATTTGTTATCTTTTGAAAACCAAAGGATTAATGATCGCGAGATTGCCACCAATAGAGTACCAGATTATCCTCACTTGTTTAATTCATCAAACCATTCTAATATTCATTCTCCAGAGTTACATAAAGCTGGTGGGTCAGTCAGTATTGATTTTGGTAAGCAGGTTGTTGATAGAAATAGCAATTCGATGGTTTCAACTTCTAATTTTCCTGGAGGGCATCCTGAGAATATGCAAAATAATCAGGATGTTAATAATGCCGAGTGTTTTAATGTGTTTCCAAGTAAGGAGAAAAGGTCTCTTGTTGGGAGATATGAAGGTGGAGTGGGCTGCGGGGCTGTTGATATGGGGGAGAGCAGCATAATATCAAATATTCTGTCTATGGAATTTGACTCATGGGATGAGTCTTTAACCTCACCGCAGAATCTAGCTAAGTTGTTAGGTGAAACTGATAAACAACAAGGGTCTTTTGGAGTTCCAGGTGCTAGAAAAAATCAGAATAGCAGCCAATCAAGGTTCTCATTTGCTAGAGAGGATGAAAATATGAACCATGTATCTAATTATGCACAATCTATTGATTACTATGGACAAGCGCGTATGCAGCCCCTTTCTGGCCATGATTTCTCTAGCGGCAACAGCTTGTATAACGAGAAGTCTCTTAGTCGCAATGGTTTACCTCTTTCTGGTGGTGCTGAACCGGATATTTTTGCCAACAGTCATTCTCATATTTCATCTAACAAGCTTTCTGGTAAGTTATAACTAATTATGTGACCTAATCATGGAAATTTGTTGTTTATGACTCAGAAGTGACTGAGAATATGTGCAATTTACTTTTCCATTCATCATCTCAATTCTCAACACCAGAGTTTTTATGGGACTGAGTCATGTATTCCTGTTCAAAGTTAATCCCACACAATACTATAGTGCATCTGGGCTTTATTTCTAGATATCATATGATCACTTTGATTTATATGGTATGTATTTTGTTTTCCTTCCCAACTTTTTTACAACACGAGTTCATAACCATATATTTACAATTTTCACTTTGGAAACCAAAAGAAGTTTGTTTTCAGGATGGAAGTTTACTTGATGTATGTTGCTTCCGGTACCTCTTTAGAGTGTCATTGTTAGGGGGTGTTAAGCATAGGCGGTTTAATGCATGTGAATGAGAATTGGTGCACATGATGGTAGGGCCATCGCGGGCAGAACTGTAATTTATTTGATGCAGCATTTCGATTCAGCGGACAAACTAGGCAATTATCCTTGGATTTGCACATTTTATAGAGTGATAATTGTTCTGTTTGCGGTTTTCGTTTTCTGAATCCGCCGGTATTAGGGCTGAAGTTTAAGACTGACTTCAAATTTACTCTTGCTCTCATGGGTAGTGTCACAAATAAATATCCGAACTACTTCGTTCCTTTATATGTTCTTGTTTATGTATGTTGATTATCTGTTTAATTATTTCTTCGCCTCCCTAAAAGCTATTTTCCAATGTCTTCAAACAGTTTCAAGATCTCAGATATCTGCCCCTCCTGGATTTTCTGTGCCTAGTAGAGCACCACCACCTCCAGGCTTTTCTTCTCAAGAAAGGAGCGAGCAAGTTTACGAATCGCTTTCTAATGGTTAGAGTTATATGCCGAGCAAATTTAAGTTTTTATTTTTTTCAAAATTTGCGTTCTTATGGAAAACTATTGTTAATGTATACGTGCAGGAAATCATTTTCTCGATTCTTCCTCTTTATTTAGAAATCAGTATGAAACGCCCTCAAATGGTAATACTTTTAGTAACGGTGATCTTGAGTTTATGGACCCTGCAATTTTGGCTGTTGGCAAAGGAACATTTCCAGGCATAGACACAAGGTCTAGTTTTTCTCCACATTTGGGTACATACGAAGATTCAAGGTTCCAATCGTTTCTACAACGATCACTTCCTTCGCCTCAGAACCAAAGATATACTGATCCGGGGGAATCTTTTTCGACCAATGGTGATGCTTACAGAATTCCTTCTAGGATAATTGAGCAAAATCTGTCCAGTAATCACTCTCCATTTTCTCAGTTCACAATCCCTCACTCTAGGAATGGAATAACTTCTAATGGGCAATGGCATGACGGGTGGAATGAGGCCCAGAGTGGGAATAATTTGGGTGAGCGGTCGGGATATAATAACTACTATGGTGGTTACGAAGATTCCAAGATCCGAATGCCTAGTTCAGGCAATAATCTATACAATAGGACATATGGGATTTAATTTGAAGACTTCTTTTCTTTTTTTCCTTATTGGTTTGGTGATGATATATCAATGGTGAAAGTGGATGATCATTATATCTGACTTTGACAGAACCTGCATCAAGGTTTTGAAGCTAGGAGCTCGAATTTACTCGGCAACTGGTTTTTTTTCGTATTGACTTTACAGTAATATGCCGAGAGATTTTGACAGTTTGCTTAGAAAAAGATGCGTGCCATGATTATTCTAACGACCACATTTACGTTGGAGGAATTATAAACTTGTGTCAAATGGGGATTTGGAAGCCAACAGGTGAACTTTCACTCTCTTTTCAAAGAAGGAAGAAAATAATTGTTTTGCATATATACATACATATATATATATACATACATATATATATATACATACATATATATATATATATATATATATATATATATATATATATATACACACACACACAAGCACATACATACATACATACATGCATGTGTTGTGAGACGTCTACTAGACATTTTTTTTGAACTTTTCCCCCCACAATTTTAGCTTTTCTACTTTTTTATTTTTATTTTTTTATTTTCATGTACTTGTTCTTAGATTTATTGCTAATTTTGCAGGTGAAAGGGTTTTAAAACTGAAGGTCGATGCGAAGGCTGTGGCAGATGTTGTACGTTGCAATCCTTCGGTTTTGAGGTTTTCTTTCAATCGGAGGGGACAACAGGTCTCACTGATGATATCAGACAAGGGGATGGTTTTACAATATGAGATTATGTGCTGCTGCCTGCTTTATGTTGTGGTTAGATGCAGTAATCGATGTTTAACAATGGCTAATTAGAGAGAGATTAATAATGCTAATTAAAAGAGAAAAAATCGGAGCGATTGCGAATACTCTTTCATTGGTTAGCATTAAGTGTGATTTATATATCTTGTGTGATTTGTGAGTCGTGGCTTGTGAGCGGAATTTACCTAGTACAATTCAAGTATCTGTGCGTTCACTTTTCGAAAGAAAAAAAATGGGTAATTTTATCAAGCGAATAATTGCGTAAATAGTTGGGTTCTAATGCAATATATGGTAGGAGTATGGGTAGAAAGAGGAACCGAAATTCCTATTTCCGCCGATACCGTTCTGAAAAATTCCGAAATTGGAACAGATTTTCATTTCCGAATTCCGAAATTCCGATTTCTGAAATTTTTGAAAAAAATCGGGATCGGAATCGGAATGTGATATATAATCTCTGGAATTTCCAATTTCCTTATCCAAATTGATTCTGAATATTTCCGATTTTTTTCCGGAAATTAATACATATTTAAGAATAATTATATACTTATGTATATATTTTTTATACTAAAATTTAAACTAATAATAGAAGCCCAATAATATTGGCCCATTTTACAATTTTATCAATTATTAGCCCATTTTACAAGTACATATACATTTGCTTTCCAAACTCTATCCATCTCCTCTCATGCGCCGCTCCCCTCTCCACTGCTCTGCTCTATGTTGTTTCTTTCTTCACTCAAAATCTTCATTTCATTCTTAATTCTTTTGGGTCACCTTGCATTTTCGTTTGTGTAGTAATTTTTTTCTCCACTTGTGCATTTGTTTGCGGATCCATTAGATACATTTCTATTTGTTTTGGATTACGAAGAGAATAAATAATAGCAGTTGTTCTTTCAAGATTTGAAGTTTTATTTCTCCATTTCTAAGTCTGTTCCTAAAAAGATTTCAGCCTTTTCATTTGGATTTCCATTCTTGGTTGTGATGCACTGTGTAGAGAAATAACCATTGATTATTGTTGGGTTTTAGCTATTTTTTATTGTCTTCGAAGTGTTTTTTTTCTTCCCCACTTTCATTTTGAAATTTCTTTCAATTCCTAAATTTCCGAAATTTTCGGAATAGGATCTCATTTTATGATTCCGAAATTTTCGGAATCGGAATCGGAACTGATATTGTAGTTCTAAAAAAAAGCGGAAATTTTCCGAACCGGTCTTTTCCGATATGATATGTCCGATTTACACGGCTAGTTAGGAGACAAGTTCATTTTCAAGTACAATAATGTAAAGAATTAATTTGTTAATGAATTAAAACTGCAGCAGTTTATAATTTTTAAATCCAACAAATTGGAAAAAATCAAAATAGACACGTCAGCCGAATATCTTCTATACTAATAGTCAAGGGTGGGAAGGGCACAGTGGTCAATTGAAGTGTGAAATTAACTGACTCAGCGATGACTCGTAACGTGAGACGGCAAGCCAGCCTACTTGCTCAGTTGCTTCTAATTTCATCTTTCTCAATTAGTATTTTTAATTAGGCTCAATTTTTAGAATATAATTAAATAAATAATAAAAATATGTTGCCTACTACTTAACTATGGAATTATTTTAATTTTTTTTTTCTAATTTTTTTAGTTTTAACTTATTATTGATATGCGACATAAGTGTTGCATGCCAGTAGTGTATGCGAAATAGGGTCCCCAAAATAGACAAATGAGAGGGTACGTAGGGGCGTGAACCTTTGGAATCAAGGTCCAAGACGTGATCAAAGGTAACTTGTCATTCGAAGCACCATGAATCGGGACCTCACAAATCCGATCAACCCACTCCATACGAACATCCTGAGCAAGAATATAATGTCCCGATTCTAGTCACCATGCGGATATCTATGACTAGACTCTCAAATGTGTAATACAACCATCCTCAATAATGCCCGAAAGAGGGTCATCTCCAAACAAGTGGTCGTCCAAAAAACTAATAGCACCCAAACATTCTTCAATAGATCTTTGCCTGCACACGCTCACGAACTCAAAACATATACTTCCACATCGTCATATCTAGGGGTGCAAGTTGGAACGGAATTTCCAATTTCCGCCGATTCCGATCCGAAAAGTTCCGATTTTGGAACAACTTTTTTCATTCCAACTTCCAAAATTCCGATTTCCGATTTTTTCCGAATTTTTTGGATTGGAATTGGAATTATATAAAATAAATTTGGAATTTCCGATTTCCGATCCGATTTAATTCCGAAAAATACACCTATAAATAATATATATTATATAATACTTATTTTCCAAAAAATACACCTATGAGTTTTGTTTTAGGATTTTGACATAATGAATTGTTATTAGATGTTTTATTGGATATTATACTGTGTTTATTTTTACTTATTTTTTTGAATTGAAATTTAGTAGTTATTAGTTTTACTTTTATCGACGTGGATGTTCTTATTTTTGAAAAATTATGAACATTATAGAAATTTTCGGCTAAGTTTTGAAATTTTAAAGCTTATGTGATTTCCGATTATTTTCCGAAACTCCGAAATTTCCAGGCCTTTTGGAATTGGAATGAATTTTTAGATTCCGAAAATTTTGGAATTGGAATTGGAATTGATTTTGTACTTCCAAATTTTTTTGGAAATTTTCCGAAAAGGCTAATTCCGATCCGATCCTTCCGACTTTCACCCCTAGTCATATCATATCGTCACATATAATTAGCCAACGTATAATTTATATAGTTTGTGTGATTTGTGAACTATTGCATGTGATCGAAACTTACATAGTAATTGTTCCCTTGTGCAAAAGAAAAAAAAGGTAATTCAATCAAGCTAAATCATTGCTTGAAAAAATAAATAATCTTAATTAGTAATATATCAAAGTCAATCAAATTAATTAATCCTTATCTTATCGAATATTCCAAAGTTTGACTACAGCGTTTTGATTGCTTAGGTAATTGTGATGACGTCAACACGATTATATGTAGTGTGATCTGATATCTTTGTCCATAATGTGTCTATTCGGTTTCAGACACACACATATTATGTAGGAGACAAAGCTCATAATTTTATAGTACAATAACGTAATTAAGTATTAATTAATTAATTAATAATTAAAACTCCAACAGCGTATGATTTTTTAAATCCAAAAATTTGGAAAAAATCAAAATAATACGTCTTCTATTTTATTTTTTATATCATATTTGTACAATTTATGGAGCTAACTGCGAAAGGAACACAATTTGTGTACCGTAGTGTAGGTCTGTGAGATATTACACACCTGATGCAAAGTATCGGGTGAGTTTACACAATGAATTCATACAACAAACTATCACTAAGCACGTATACATATGAGTGTATGTTTTATTATATGTAGATTGATGGTATATGATCACTCGATATCCGAAACCCGAAACTCGAAAATTCGAACCAGTAAATAAAAAATTGACCTTCTTTTTGTAATGGTTGATTGAAGTGGAATTCAAAAGTGAGTCAGCGATGACTCATAACGTGGGACTGCAAGTAATGGTTGGCTCAGTTGCTTCTAATTTTCATCCATCTCAAATATTTTTAATTTCTTAAATATAGCCAAATAAATTAAATAAAAAAAATTTACTACCTACCCAAAAAATGATTATTATTGGCCTATATGTATCTGCCAACCAGGGTTAGATGCTACTACATCGGGTGATATACATCTGACGTTTTTTAACTGTTGATGATGTTAAGTAATTATCCACAAAACACATGTAAATGTATAAGTATATGCAAATCAAAGATAAAAAAACACTCATGTAAATCAGTAGGTCTAACATCAAAATCAAATCCCCTGGCCGCCCATTTTCTACAAAAAGGGTAACACTTTTCCAATTTATTATCTTATTTAGCCAAATTGGTTGGCTTTCTTATGAAATTGAGATTCAAAAAAAGAAGATATATATTCCAATATTTATTGCGGTCCCATCAATCTGACTCATCAATGGGATTGATAACAATATATTTTGATAAAGAATGTTCGATACCAATATCGGTGGGCTTGACTTGAGGGATCAAATTATTGGCAAGTCAATCTAATATCATAAGTAGAAAGGTGAAAGTATTTATGCTTTTACCAAAGCTTTTACCGGGATTTAGATGCTATATCTATTTATTTATATCGGTTAAATTTGAATCATAGTTTTAATTAAATAAATATCCATTTCAATTTCAGTTCAAGAACTTCAAAAGGTCGAAAATTAGAATTTTTAGATATGGGAATGAGAAAATATTGTTCAAAATCGATTTTTTATTAATTGAAATTTGCGGAATTTGAAAATGTGGTTCCAATCCCCCATCTTTAGTATGATATAAAAATATAAATAGGAAAAATACAGTTTTCATCTCTCAAGTTTGCATAAATTTCAATTTGGTCCCCTATGTTCACGAAAAAACACATTTGGTCCCTTATGTTTAAAAACTTCAACACTTTTAGTCATTTCCGTCAATTTTCCGTTATAACTAACGGACAAACGGTAAATTGACGGAAATGACCAAGAGTGTTAATATTGGAACATGAAGAATCAAATGTATTTTTCGTGAACATGAGGGACTTAATATGAAATCAGTACAAACTTGAGGGATGAAAACTGTAATTTCCCCAAATATCCAAATATAAAAAGAACAAGGGTAAATTACAACCACCCCTGAGGTATGGTAAATTACGAAAACCCTCTTCATGTTCGGGTAATTACAACCACCCCCTCATATATAAATATTTTTACACGTCCACCCTTGCGGTTTCAAATTTAGTGGAATATTCGAGATTATATGAAATATTATCACTTTTGTACCCGCTTTATCTCATCCGAACTTCACATTTTGAAGCAAGATGATCATAATATGTGTTATTCGGCTTGTAGATATTAGATTGTGGTGCATTAGAAACTGTATTTTTACACAAAACAAGTACAAACTAGAGCACATTCCACAAAATCTAGATTTTGAATTTGACATCATAAGAAACAGGCGTAAGAAAAAATCATAGTTAAATATAATTATCCAAACAAGAAAGACTTTTTTCGTAAATTGACCATACTTCAGGGGAATGTTGTAATTTACCGAAAGAACAAGAATCCATCTTAGATCTGCAAGTATCAATCGTAGTAGTTGTATTAAATATTAATATTCCAAGTAGCTAGATTGCCAAGTGAAATGACGAAAGTACCCCAAATTCCACTTATAAATAACCCACAGTTGTTTAATTTCTGAAACAATTCATTT